TGTGGACACGATAGCATGGTTGATTCGGTCCGTTATGCCGTTGTGCACAACTTGGATGCAACCACCCATCGTGTTGATTACTTCGAGGAGTTGCAGGTTTGGGCGTAAGCAAATACATTTTTCCTATAGTAAAGTATACAGGGTTTCTACTTTGCCCTCTAAAATTTTGCATCTTAGGGGTACATATGGAACCATTCTGGTTGGAGACGAACTGTAAGACTGGTACTGCGCCGCCGTTAGTCTACTTTTTTTGGTTGCACTATTAACCATTGTGCCAATACCCTCGCGGATTCAGTCACGTAGGAAAATAAACGCATCATGTTTATCATAAACTATAACCCTAGAGCTAAATATACTTGATTTTTTACTAAATTTTTTTACTTCACACACTACAGCTAAGTGAGATTTTCTGGTAGGCTGGCTTGGACATCGATTTATGAAAACTCCACTCGCTCCAAACTTTAAAAATTTCGCGGTATAAATAGTTAGCCCGTCAATACAGATTGCGTCATATTTAATCCCTTCTCGCCTTGGGGGGCTTGGCATGTCCTATATTGTGTACATGTATGACTGAACCATGAATTTCATATTCAGCGAATATCCCATATTTCTGGTGTGCCACACAAAGTCACGAAAGAGCTCAGACACAAGAGAGCCCCAATTCGATATCGAATTCGATACCGGCTAGCGGTCAAAAGCAAGGTGTCTTTTGTACACCTGTTCGTATCTCTCAATAAAACGTGGTGTAAAATCAAAGGGCTAAAACCATAGCATCGTCATCTGTGGATCCCTTACTAACACTCTGCTTAATAATATTACATAAGTCATGCGATGGCTCAATGCAGGAGTCTATCCCAATATGCTTAGCTACCGCGATACCTAAGGAAGACTCGTAAAACTTCCTGTACATTCCAGCATTCAAGACGAGGTCTTGGGTTTAGATATAACTGTGCTACAGCCGAGGTAGAGGCGTAGAGTATTTGTAGTACATTGTTGTTTTATTGTAGTTTTTTAGTCATCGATTGACATTCTGGAAGGTTAACCCCTAACTAAGTCACATTCCGTTGCATACGCCGCCCTGGAGGTTGGTGAAATTCACGCTTGCCTCTCGTGGTAACGAAGCCCGGCGGGGAACATTAAAGTTCAAGATCCAAGGGGCTATGCCTTATGGTTTAAACAAGTTTCCGCGGTGTTTAAACTGGGTTATACGGGCCTGTATTGTAATACTATATAAAATATGGGTGGTGAAATGCTAACTGGGCTATCGATAGGCGCCTAGATATGTAGCTGACACAGCCCCGTATGGCATGGTCCAGTAACCGGAAAGTCCTCGATATCCTCATACTTGTGTCAAGGAAACGCCACGCTCTGTCCCTGTATCCAAAGTGTTAGGGTGGGATTTACGCCCAAAAGCAATCTGCCGGCAGGCATCGTGGCGTCATTGGCTGCTTTAAATATCTGGGCAATTATTCCCAACCACTGTGGTTCTTCCAAGACATTTGCGGGTTGGGATATTTGATACATTTACTATTATAGATCATGATTAATCTCTTGGCATTGAATTTATCAGCATGTTGCACCTTTGATTTACAAGTGTAATCAGGATCTAGGCTTTGTGGATCCCTTCGATAACGCAGTAGAGACTTCGTATGCATGTACCTGCATAATGTCTACTCTATTGTAACCTCCATTTGTACCCAATAAATTTCCTTCTGATTACATCGGGGTGTAACACAGCGAGACAAAGTGGAAGGCAGTAGGCCATGCTGGTTAATATTTGGTAAATAATGGTTTCGCCGAATTTCATGAGAAGGGAAATAATGACTCGCAAAACTATATAAGAATAGCCAATCCTCTCCTCTTTCCATACTCTCAACATTTCATTACTTAAATTTTCACTCAACCCTCAATATACTATGATTCACCGGATTCCAGCCTCCTCTCTTTTTACTCTTGCAGTTGCTTTCTGCCTCATTAATAGAGTAGAGCTGTACAAAAGGTATTCCCCTGAAGACTTGGCCCTTATCGCGTGTTCGAGTACTATTGATACCGTAGCCATCTTTTGCGGTGAACCATCGACCGTCAAGGGTATTTCACCCTGCTATTGCCGAAATGCCCCGAACTTGGGGTCGCTATTGATTTGCTTACATGAGATGAACTACTACACTGCAAAAATGGCCACTCTTCTCGAGAGCACATGCTCCTATGGTCCAGGTACTCTCGATGCGGCTTACCACAATGCTTCCAGTTATGCTATAACCCCCATTTCCACTCAGGTCGGAGCTCTTTCATACCTTCCCGTTACTGTTAACGAAAGCACTGTTGGTACGAGCTACCAATCTTATCGCAACCTCTACAACAACAACACTTTGGCGGTCTCGTTGGGAGCTGGCTTTGTTGGGTTCTTCGGATGCATTATGTTACTTTCTGGTATTTTTAACTGGACCATGCGCTTATTTCCTGCCATACCAAACTGGTTCACCGGTTCTATATCTATTTTTTTCCGACGCCACGTTTCCTTGACTGCGGCTTTCAAGAAGGATAGAAATGTTCCTTTGAGACTTTGGGGGTATCCGATGGGATTGATCCCCACAAGATTGGAGTCGTTCGTGGTCTTGCTCTCCTATGTGTACCTCGTTTTGGCCTGTGCCATTGGATATACCCCCCCTGTTGAGAACAATCCCATTTTTCCAAACGCCAGGGTGGAGATTGGTAGACATGTAGCTAACCGAATCGGAACCATCGCACTCTTCATCTACCCCTTGGCCATTATTTTCGCGGGGAGAAATAACGTTTTACTGTTCATAACGCGGTGGAACTACTCTGTTTTTAACATGTATCACAGACATTTGGCCCGGATCTTCCTCCTTTTGACCATGGCCCATGGAGCATCTATGACTATCACGCTCAAAAGCAACTCTGTCGCTGCGTATATGGAAGCGTTGCTGGCGGCGCACGTGAGGTGGGGTATCGTGTCGGTTGTCGTGATTGGGTTGTTGGCATTCCAATCAGTCTTGTTCTTGAGAAGAAGATCCTATGAAACGTTTTTGCTCATTCACATTACCCTCGCGGTAGTTGTGTTGCTTGGCGTACATTTTCACGCAAAGCCGTGGGGGTTTAACGGTTTTACATGGGCCGTTATCGCCATTTGGTGCCTCGATAGAGTCATCAGGTTGGTTCGCATGTTCTCTTTTGGTATCCAGGAAGCAACTGTCACGATAAAGGCGGAGGAAACGCTAAAGGTGACCGTCCCAAAGCCTCGCTACTGGAAAGCCAAACCCGGCCAGTACTCTTTTGTTTCTTTCTTGAAACCATCATGCTTCTGGCAGTCCCATCCTTTCTCCACTATCAGTGAGAGCGATACTGAAATCAGCTTTGCCATTAAGATCAAAGGTGGTGCCACCCACGGCTTGTACAAGCAGGTGGCTTCTTTGCCTGGACATACGGATATTATCAAGGTTGTTGTGGAAGGGCCTTATGGGTTTAGCTCTCCCGTGTCCCAGTACAGTGAAACCTTGTTGCTTGCCTCTGGAAATGGTATTCCAGGGTTGTACGACCATGCTATGCGGTTGAGCAGAGCCGGTGGTCACCACTCTGTGAAGTTGGTGTGGGTCATCCGCAACTGGAGATCTGTCTCGTGGATGTTGGAAGAGCTCAAAGCATTGAAAGATACCAGGGTGAATGTCACAGTATATGTGACGAAGCCGAAGGACACGTTGGATTATAACATTGACACGGTAACGCTTCATTCCAGTCTTTTGTCGTCGGAAAAGAATCGTGAGTTGGACTATGACGGAAATGATGAAAATCTTCCCACCAAAGTGTTGGCTAGCTTGAAAGCTTGCCTATCCCATGTGGTCTTTGAGGAGGGGCGTCCTGACATTGATTGTTTAATTCAGGAAGAAATCACTAACGCTGAGGGAAGCGTGGCAGTGGTTGCGTGTGGTCATGATAGTATGGTGGATACTGTAAGGTATTCCGTTGCCTTTCATTTGGGTGCCTCCCAACATCGTGTGGATTACTTTGAGGAATTACAAGTTTGGTCTTAAATCCCTGAGTATTGCGATATATTTTATTTACCAGTTTATATTTAAGGTAATAAATTACCTATATTAGCCATTGAACTATATGCAATTTCATGCTATATTAGTATATCCATAGGTGTCATGCTCCATAAACCAATCTCTACGCGTACTAACATTTTGTTTTTTTTCCGACTTTTAAACATTAGTATTTCAGAGTTTTATTTATTCTAATCGAGTTCCACCTATTGAGGAAAGCTCGCGCTATGTACAATGTCCCAGGGACTAGTTCTTGGCCACACGCATCATCTCATCGATGAGGACGATCTTTTCTCTGGGCTTCCCACAGTCCTCGCCCCTTTTCTTCTCTTCGGCATCAATCTTGTACCACTCGTCGGCTGAAACGGCGTTCTCGCTGCCAAAAGCCTCATCCTTGGGGGTTTTTAACCTTCCGTTCGCCAAATCATGGAGGATCAAATCACCCACCAGGAAGGCATCAAGCATCGTGGTGGCGATGACCCCCTTTGGCCCATTTTTGATCCACCCGGATGTGTATAAGCCCTTGATGCATCGTTCTCCAGCATTGGCCTTCGCACTGGCAGCAAGGACTCTACCGTCTACGTTTCTAATGACACCCCGCTGAGCGTCAAAAGAGATATTGTTCTCCGAAAAACCCGGTAACGGAGAGCCCTTGTACCCGATGGATGTTATGACAAGTTCGGACTTGAGTGTCTCGGTCTCTTCCGTCTTCCTGACCAGAACCGGCTCATCAGCCGAAACAGGCACCGAAAGTACGTTCTGGTGGCAAATGGTGGACTGCAACAAGATAGGGTTGGTTGGATGGCTGATGAATTTGAATGGCGACAACATGTATTTCAATGACCACTGCTTTGCCGCAGACAAACTGCTCTCGCCGTTCTTGGCCCTGAAAGCCTCCTGGTCCTTCTGGTACTTGCGGTACATGTCCAATCTCCTCTTGTGAACTCTACCCATCTGCGGAATCAAATGTTTCATGCTCTCAATCAAAAATTCGTCAATGCCGTTAAACTTGACCAAACTTTCTGTTTGCTTCGACGCGGTGGACAAGTCCAACAACTCCCTAAATTCCTTGTTCGTAAAGGCGCTCTCGTAATACCCTCTGCGAGCCACAATAGACACATTCTTCACTGTGCTAGCAATTAACTTCTTTACGCTGTCGCTCGTGATGTCTGTGGAGGCCCAGTGCTTTTCAGGCGACGCTAACAAGATTCTAGCAACGTCTAACGCCACATTACCATTCCCCACGATAACCACATTCTCTACCTGGTCTAGTGGCGGATTCAACGACCGGAACTCTGGCAAACCGTTGTACCACCCCACAAACTTGCGAGCTGGAATAACACCCGGATGATCTTCCCCGTCGATTCCAAGCGTGTTGTCTTCGTCACACCCGTAGCTGAACACCACCGCATGGTACTTGTCTCTCAAGGCGTCGATAGACACACCAGCTGTTGCACCTCCAGCAGAAGCGACTTGCACGTTACCAAAGAAACGAACCTGCGGGCTTTGCATGACCCCGTCAAAGGTATCCTGGCAGTTTTTCACTTCAGGATGGTCAGGTGCTACCCCATAACGGGAAAGGCCGTATGGCACAGGTAGCTTTTCAAAGATGTCAATCCGTAAGTCCTTGGTAGGAGTGGCTTCTTCAGAGCTATCCGCTAGTGCCTTTGTGAACTTTTCTAGCAAGCGGTGGCTCACGTAGAAACCAGACGGACCAGAACCAACGATGGCGACTCTGTATGGAGAGGTTGCCGCATTGGACAGATATCTGCGGGCCAACGGTCTAAGGGTGGTTGCAGATGTGGTTTGGGCAAAGATTACCCTTCCAGCGGAGATCATAGCGAAGGGGGTTTCTAGGAGCTACCAGATGGATCAACGATCAAATTGAAGCACCGGGATTGGAGTACTGGGGCACGTTATACGTGGGAAAAGTACAACAATCCTGCATGCAGACAGTTTAGGAAGAGCCCCACGGGACTGGCGGAAACACGTCTATTTTACGGAAGAATAAAAGTTGGTATGAATTAGATATGAATTAGATATGAATTAAATATGAAGTTGAGATGATTGATCCATCAAAGTTAGATATCGGATGAAAGCGTCCTTGCATAAAAACCACGAGTACAGTATCGACATTGGAAGGCGTCGAGGCGTACCAGCAAAGGTATCACTTTTTAGAGATCATATGGCTGTTGCTATACAAAGATTGATTCAAGGTTGGCCAGGTAACTTTTCTTCCTCTTGGAGCCGTAATAAGCTACAATCATAACAACCAAGACCATTCGGTCTAGAGTGTAGCGACGAGCGGCTAGAGCCTAGACCCTTTGTGCCGTGCGGGACGGGACGGGACGGGAAGGCTAATTCTACGAGTGGCTTATCTCCCCCAAAGACGTAAGCGTGGCTATATCGATACCGTGACAACCATAGGCCTAGGTCTTGTACAGGATGTTTAGCTTTCCCGTAGAGATCCTTTTTTTCGACAATCCCTCGAGCTATTGATGCTTATTACAGGCGTTGAAGAGTAAAATTAGACCCGTATAGGTACATACACCTCGGATCCAACTAAAATGGCATATGCCACGACATATGTAACGGTAAAACTCCTTCTTGCGAAGCAACTCAAACACGGAACCTGAAACAGTGTTTGTGTAAAGACGCGTGATTTCAGATCCAGCATGTGAATAGGCGCACCCGCTTTCCAGCCGCTGAACCCTAAAACGACCAGCATACCGAGAAAGTAGCCAGCTGTACAGGACACCAACAGTATTTAGGTGTCAATTATGCGCCACTCTCTAGTTTAACGTTTCTAGACTCCCAGACGGGCAAAACAATGCACATACGTGCAGACTAGCTAAGGCAGCGCCGCATGTCATCCTGCAGCTCTCATTAAGGCCTCGGATGCATAATTTCACTACGTAACCGGTCGTGATACACATATTTGTTTAAGTTTAAATGTTATTTTTAGCTAACTCGACGCCGCGATAACAAATCTTTAGGGATAGATACCAAGCCACACTCCTTTGATGACATCAAGTAGCAACCAAAGCCTCAGAGACTGTGTTATCCACAGACACCCCAGTTTGAGTGGGGTGTGTCAAAGACAAGCCCGTAGGGCATGCACCTCTCGTAATCTTCCATTGGCATGCAAAAATATTCTTGTTTGTGTTACCACTTGGCTGTCACAAATTGCGTGATACGCTTCTTACGTTCATGCGCGTCGCCTCCCATGCCTCTTTTCTTGACCCACTTTGAGTTTGGGTTCTGACATGGACTCGTTTTGCGACCATAGCAAGAAACGCCTATTATAAATAGGAGGCTCCGTCCTCCTCCGGCTTAATCTCTGAACGCTCCTTTTTCTTTCTCCTACGTTAACAGACCCTGTGCTACTCTCACATCGATTAAAATGCCTATTCAATTCATCAGAAGACAACTTAGAAAGCTTTTGGGCCGTGACAAGCCAGAAGAGACCACCAAGCCAGTCGACAAGAAGGTTGACGAAACTACACCAGTCGAAGAGGCTGCTCCTGCTGACGAAGCTGCCCCCGCCGAAGAAGCCGTTGCCCCAGTCGACGAGTCTGTTACTGCCCCAGAAGCCGAAGTTGTTCCAAATGCCAAGTAACTCCTTTTCTAGCTAATCTAGCTACTACCCACAGAGGTAATGATTGCGGTATTCCCCTATACCCATTCCGGTTTAACTCACGCTTTGTTTGTGTTCGGGGGAGGGGATGGTTTGCGTTGATTTTTTTCTTTCATTTCTCGTCAACCATGGCAACGGCTCCTTGATTGGGTGCAAATGGCTAGGGTGACGGGAGAGCAGCTGAACCGCTTTGAAAGCTGTCCGTATAGTGTTTTTCCCCTTTCTATCTGTTCTTGCTTTACATCTTTATAGTTCAAATAATACATCCGATAATGAACAACCACTTCTGGATTTTTATTTGCAAGTCTGTAAAACCAAAACACCCGTAGTAGCCGAGAGGCAATCAATGACGTTAATTTAGCCGACGACTCGAAACAAAACTGTCACGCCTGTAGTCTCGTAAACTTTAATACGCGTTTGAGTGTGATTGGTTTAGAAAGTATAGCCAGTTATCGCAAAACTTAATTCATTTTGACACCTGCATGGAAATGTAAAAGCAGTGCCCGGCTTGTGCAGCTTTCGCAGATAACAGTGCAGACTTAAGCATACAAGCTGCTATCGCGCTCGACGTTTCTGCATAACAAGGCAAAGAACTATATATCTAAAACGGACTACCTTGTACTCCTTATCTTGTGCTCCCATCTTGTACTCCTATCTTAGAATGGATGCAACCAGGGTACATGTAAAAGATTATTCCTTGTATGCCATGTTTCTAGTTATATCTCCAATACGGTTGCATATATTTCTCGACAGAAGCCAATGATCGACTGATCAATAGAAACCTTTACAATTCTATAAAGCACCTGTATTAATCCAGACTAGCAGTTCGGTCCAATCCGTGGGCAGGACACGCTGAACGTGAGCCCGCTGCTGGCCGTTTCGTCCGAGTCGTCCTGCCCTGTGACTCGGGCTGCATCCCCCTCGCCATACGGAGGTACAATTCCGAAGTCGCTCGCAAAAACGTGATTTCCCACCGGGCATCTCTCCTGCGAAACAGGAAAAATTAAAGTGCAAGCAGCATCGTTACCCCATCAGGGAAGCGATATTTACCGATACGTCAAAATATAAAAACGCCACATCTCCCCTCCCCCACCATCTTGTTATTTCAACAATACCCGCAGTATCATCCCCACACCATGATCCAGTTAGCCAGAGCCGCTCGCGGTTTGCCGAGAATCGCAGCCGTCCAGCGCTGTATGAACACATCCACCATCGCCGTGGAAACCTCCAAACAGACTGCCCCAAAGACCAGAAGAAGAAGAACCACGGTGTTCTCCGACAAGCTAAACAAAGGTCCTTCGTTCGAAGACTTTGTGAACGGCAAGGCGGCGGATCAGGTTGTTGACCCGATCGCTGCCGCCATGAAGGACCCCGAGGCGAGATTGCCCGCGTGGTTAAAAGTTCCGATCCCAAAGGGCAAGTCTTTCCAGAAATTGAAAAACGACGTCAGAGAGTTAAAGTTGGCCACTGTGTGTGAGGAGGCCAAGTGTCCAAACATTGGCGAATGCTGGGGCGGTAAAAAGTCGGAAGCCACGGCCACCATCATGTTGATGGGTGACACCTGCACCAGAGGCTGCAGGTTCTGCTCGGTCAAGACCAACAGAGCCCCTGCTCCGTTAGATCCAATGGAGCCCGAAAACACCGCCGAAGCAATTTCCAGATGGGGCTTGGGCTACGTCGTGTTGACCACTGTGGACAGAGATGACTTGCTCGACGGTGGGGCCCACCACTTGGCCGAAACCGTGTTGAAGATCAAGCAGAAAGCTCCACAGATCTTGGTGGAATGCTTGTCGGGTGATTTCCGCGGTGACTTGGCGATGGCCCAGGTGTTGGCCAACTCGCCGTTGGATGTGTTTGCCCACAACATGGAGACCGTGGAGAGATTGACTCCTCACGTTAGAGATAGAAGAGCCACCTACAGACAGTCCTTGGCTGTCTTGAACTCCGCCAAGGAGGTGCAGCCCGACTTGGTCACCAAGACCTCCATTATGTTGGGTTTCGGTGAGACCGATGAGGAAATCTTACAGACCATGAGAGACTTGCGAGAGGTCAAGTGTGACGTTGTCACCTTCGGTCAATACATGAGACCAACAAAGAGGCACATGAAGGTTGCCGAGTACATTACCCCTGCCAAGTTTGACTACTGGAAGGAGAAGGCGTTGGAGATGGGCTTCTTGTACTGTGCGTCTGGTCCATTGGTGAGATCGTCGTACAAGGCTGGGGAGGCGTTCATTGAAAACGTCATCAAGAAGAGACGAGGCATCTACGCAGAATAGAGACGCTGGGGGATGTACTTCCATAGATTGCATGTAATTATTTATTATCCACGAAAATGAAAAATAAACAAAATTACACAAAGCCGTAGCTACATCTGGTAGTGTGGGGTTGAGCGGGCGAGATGACAGTAAAGCCCTAACGTGCATGGCACGTGATTTAATATAGGGCTAATACCAGTGTTTCGTGACTGCCTATGGAGCTAGCTGTATATACTTGAGTTTTTCGCGGTGCGATCGTGTGCCGGGGCGAGAATCCCAAAAACTAGAGCCATCGTCCGCGCCGCACGGATTATCACAGGCGTGTGGCACCCAATACCATCTGTCATTTTTCCCGGGTAAAATTAGATAGCATCCCTAATCGGGAAATCGTTATGAGCGATGCGGCCTGCCGCCCAGCTTAGTATGACGAGCCGGCCGAAAATTTTCATTCCCTAGTATGGGCGAGTTTGTGAGGGAGACGCATACTGGCAGTATGGAACGCTCAGTTTTTTTTCCAAAATCATAGTATACACATAGAGCGCTCGTTAAAAACGGAGTTTTGAAAGGCCTTTTTTTTTCCTTTTGTAAACCATATCAACTAAATAATCGTATGTGCCCTGACGTACAAGCGGAATCCAGAGCAGTTGAGGCCAATCAGTTCCATGAGATAACCCAAGAGGCCAAGGGCGATAACCCACAAACAAGGGAGGACAAAAACTGGCCTCTTGCCCACCACGAGACGTTGACGTTTCTATCCCTGGGTGGCCTGATTTGACCTGTCCTGAGCTTTGACAGCAGCCGATGGTCGTGTTATTGTGATATCTGGCTGAGGGTCTCTGGAAGACCCCACCCTCCCGGCTATCTCCAACTGCTGAGCCTTCAACTCTGGTCTGCCCCTATCTTGAACACGTTACTAACTCTTTAGATCATCATGGCTCACGAATCTATTTGGTACTCCCACCCAAGAAACTACGGTAAAGGTTCTAGACAATGTCGTGTCTGTTCTTCCCACTCTGGTTTGATCAGAAAGTACGGTTTGAACATCTGTCGTCAATGCTTCAGAGAGAGAGCCGCTGACATTGGTTTCCAAAAGTTCCGTTAAGAGATTTGTTGAATCTCGATGGATGGCTTGCTCGTTTCATTCAAAGTGCTAAAAAGCTGGTTGCCTTGTTGCGGGGTGTATTGCCACTCCATTTATTTTCTACTTCTCCTAATTTGTGTTGCTGATAATATATAAAATCTCTTTTTACATGTACTCACCGTAGCATTCAGATCAACATAGTCCATTGATGTTTTTATCGTTCATGTACACTTTATGAGTGACCATGGGGCTGGCTATATAACTCCAATATTGAACGCCTGTAACCGCTGGAACCGACCACTCTCATCATTTCCACAACCCCGTGGTTTTTCTGAAACTGGCAACTCTCATCATCTCCACAATCCCGTGGTTTTTCTGAAATCATTTTAAAATACTTGTTGCAGACAACATGCAGCGCCATTGTTGGCTACAAATCCTCCGTCCCGTCATTTTTTTTTTCTACTTTCTTTGATTAAACAATACACTATGCTGAATACACTTCGGACTAACTGCTCCACATGATACTAGTCTTTGGCCAAACCCTCTTGTACATGGCCATCCCAATGGTGTCCTGTGGGTTCAACTTACCGTCGAACGTCGCCTTCATGTAACCATGGGTCCCCAAGCTCTCTTTGATGAAACCGGTGCGGCCCATCTTGGTGAACAACGGAATGGCCTTGAAGTAGTTGACATCCTCGGAGTTGAAGAACATGTATCTGATAGTGATCATTCTCTTGTGGATCTTGACCGGGTGGCCCGTCAACACCACGCGCTTGACCATGATTCTCTTGTTGTCGGAGTTCAAGAAGGTACCGGAACCGATCAACTTGATCGCACCCGTCTCACCATCCTGTTTGAAGAAAATCGCAGGCACCGACGATGCGAACGCCACTGGGGCGATACACGTGGCGATACATCCAGTGGTGTTCTCTGGGTGCAAGAACTTCTCGTATTTTGTGACATTGTTCGAGTTGTTCGAATTCTGGGAAAAGACCGGCTGGATGACCTGGCGTCTTGGCCCGTACTGGACAATGATACTGGACTTGGAAGCCAATGGCTCGGTGGCCTCTTCCCACGGCTTCATGTGGAAGTTAACCATCGCCAACTTGTGTTCGTGCTCCAAGAGCCCATACACAATGAACGCCGTCTGCTTGACATCGGCGATTCTTTCGAGCAAGAAGCGTGGGGCCTTCACGTACATACGGCACTTGGTCCCCGGGGTGACCTCCGCCTCGACAATCGCCTCCTTGAGCACCCTGTTTCTGGTGGCCTTGTAGTTATTGATTGCCAACAAGCGATTGAGCACGCTTGGCTTGTTCGGGTCGTGGTTCTCCTCGTAGTCCCAGGTGCAGTTACCCAAAGACTTGACCCCTCTGTAGCGCTTCAATCTCTCGATACCCGACTCATTAGGGTCCAACTCGAGCTCGTCTGGGAACTCACGGTCCTCGTCAATTTGCTCCCTGTATTCCGCCAACTGGCGCTCCTCCTCCTCCGGTGACAACTCCACAAACATCTCGGACTTTGCATCGTCGAAATCCGCCGCCTCCTCCTCCACCTCCATCTCCTCCTCCATCTCCTCCTCCATCTCCTCCTCCATTTCCTCCTCTTCTTCATCGTCCGTGTTGATGGAGTCATCGAGGTACCACTTGGCTTGGTAGTCGGAGGTACCCTTAGGCACTCTCCGTGGCAATGAGCGGTCGTAGGTGTCTTGGAGATACACGTGGCTGTCCATTCTGACCCCACGTCTGTCCTCATCCTCGGACTCCCACTCCTCGTCCATGTCAACTTCCTCGGGCGCTAACTCATCCATGCCCTCCTGGTTTTCGGTGGGGGAAAACACATCGGTTGCGGCTGCAATTCCACCGTGAGACTTTGTGAGCTTCTCGAGCTGGTGGAGCTGGTAGTCGCCAAAACCTGGAATGTGCACCAAGCGGTTGGCGTTGAAGCCAATCCCTCTGACGGTCCCTTCAATCACCAAATGTCCTTCGTCAGGGGTTTCAGACTCCTTCCAGTAGACGGCCTCCGCGAGCATGTACCCACGGGAGTCTCTCCACGAGATCTTGTTTGGGAACTTCTGGCACAAAGTTCTGGTGCAGTTGACACAGTCCTGAGGGGAGTCTAACGCATAGAGCTTATCCTGGTTAGGGAAGAAATGCTTAAAGAAAGAAAACAACGACTGGTAGATGTCCTTCTGAAGGTTCTTCTTAGGATAGGCAGTGACGAGGTTAGGGATCACACCAATGACCGAAGCAATACCCTGCGACTCCAACGCTCTCAAGATCTGCTCACCGTTAGCTGGATCAATTTCCTCGGTCGCAGAGAATCCAAAAACCACGAAATCGGAAACTTTGGCGGAATCAAGCACGCTGAGAAAGTTGGTTGGATCCGGCAAGATGATCTTCAAGTTGGACTTGAACCGCTGAACCTTTACATCCGATATCGAAGGCACGGAAAACACAACCTCATCCTCTTCGGGGTCCCTCACACAATTGAGCAACTGGCCCGCAATCATCTCCGCGGTGATGTCGGTGGTGAGCGAAATCACGGTAACCACCTTGGACGCTGCGTTGGACCCCTCAAACAACTTTCTCGACAACGTGGAGTTCAAGATCTTGTTGTACTTGATCTGTGTTGCCACATGCTTTCTCTCCAACTTGGTGATGGTCTTGATCGGTTTGTTGTTGGCCTTGGTGCGGTCGACCTTACCCTTGTTCTGCGCCTTTAACGCACCCTTGGACGCGTGCTTAGACTTGAACGGCTTATGACCTCCTGTCTGCGAGGATCTGTGCGAGTGTGAGCCGGCCATGGTGTGTGTTGGTAGGAGCAAAAAGAGGTGTTCGAAGGTGTTTAGATGCGAGCCGAAGTTTTTCACTATCAAAATTTTTTTTTCTCATCGCGCACGTGATGCCGCAGCTAGTAGAAAGGTTGAGATATGCTGGAAAGGGTTCGGGGTTCCGCCGTTTAGCGTTAGTACCACCATCTAATCTTTACAAATAGCCAGAAAAGTGGTTAGCTATCGGTGCTGAATTGATAAATAAAGGTAACTGAGAAATTATCGATTCAGCGGCCTGGTTCAATGAGATGGCAAAACATCTCAGCTCTAAGGTAACGATGCATGGCACTCTACTACGCAAATATACCACGACGGTGGAGACTATTACCATCCATGCAATGTAGCTATTAGTTATAAATGGCACTTATTTACCTCTAGCAGCACTCTTGGCCATAGGGTAGGTTGAACACAAACCCTTGAACGGATGATGCATCTACATGAACTTTGCTGTATTTCGTTTTGAGCTATTTAACTATATAGTATATAAGCTGTATCCCATCTATCGACATTCAAGACCATCGCCTCAATAAAGAGACACACGGACATCGAACTTCCTATCCGGGAGTAAGTTTATCTATCTCGGGTGGTTAAAGATCATATTCTTTTTAGAAAATGGCAACGATTATAACTTGATTATATACATTAAATCGCCGTGGCAAATACCCCCTGTACTTTTTGATTAAAGAAAAGAAAAAAGGTCTTGAGATGGCTTCGTTAGAGGGAGGGAATCGGCGCCCTTTTATACCGTTCGAGGCGCGGAAAAATTTGAGATTGAGAGTTACCCGGGCTCATCTCTGGGATATTAATTGTAAGGGCTCCAGATGATTATATGCAGGCTGCATATAGGGCTTGAATTCATACTGAATTATCCTCAGTTGAAGTAAACATTCGCAGGGAATAACAATATATAAAAGTTACTACAGAACATTGACTCGCTGGGTATTCCAGTGGGAGTTATCTCTTTACTCCAGAGCTGACTAGTATAGTCCAGGTCTAACTCGTATGTGGAAAAACCTGTATTAAACCAATACTAAATCATTTCTCACAGACACCATTCACTCTGAAATATCCTTCAAGTTCTTGTATAAATTGCTCACGAGATGGTGCAAGCCATCCAATTTGGTCCCGCATTTCATCAAAACGGGATCGAATATCGAAACCTCGCACTTCTCGAGCTCCATAACCACGGAGTTGTTATATGTAGAACATTTGGTCAAGTAGTCTTCCGGTTTGGACTTTCTAAAACTAGGGAAGAAGCTAGAAATGGAGGTTGCCCCATGATGGCTCCCTCCTCCCGGCACGCTTTTACCGTCACGTACATTGGAAACACTTTGAGTGCGGTTCTTAACCTTTTCTCTCATTTGGTCCACATAACTCTTTCCATCGGGTCCAATGGTGCACCACGGGGACTCGGTGACCGGCTCTAACGTTCGCACCTCAAACCCAAGCAGCGCTTCATGCACAAAAAAGTCCAACGAAACGGTCGGTGGAAGGACAGGCGTAAAACTGGCACTATCAATGACATGCCAAGGGAAGAAGAGCTGCTTCTCTGGGATCTGGAGCGCTAGCTTGGCAAATGCGATGGCCTCAAGGAGCGCATTCATGTGGGTCTGTATGTTTTCTGAATTCGTCAACGAAAAGAGTACTTCCGCTCTTTCAACGGCCTGGAAAACTAGCTGGAGCGCCTGTGGGATCTGTGACAAGTCAATGGGCTTGTTTGACTCGTATCTGGACGATTTATGCGACCCCTTCATCTTCAAGATGAAGTCAACCTTAGTAAGCTGGTGCCTCTGGCGGACGATGATACCTTTAACGGCCTCAGATTTAAAGGAGCTCAAGGCTAATTGATTGGGGGTTCCATCCTCCAATGCCTCCACGCATTCATGTAGTGTGTCCAAGATCTTGGGGTATTCTGGCTTGATGATTCGCTCGATGAGCCACGCTCTTTCATTTTCCTGCGGCGGTTAGTACCTCACGGGGGCTATACGTCTGGTACCATGCTTACTTTAACCTGCTTTATCTGGGCTTCGATTTCTGTATCATCTAGTGGAGGATACAAGGCTGTCATGGTTGGGTGGTTATATCTTTTCTCAGTGTGATACACAAGGGATGCCAGTTACATAAGACCGTACGCCGCAAGGGTACAGTTATGTACAGGATTGGCACGTGGGGTAACCGTGCCTTCTGCGGTTAATGAAAGGCACGATTAGTGACGATTAAAAATATGGCATTAGAATATTAGGGTAGCTCTTTAATTTTAGTAGCAAAGATATCAAAGGGGGTAGCAAAGCACGGCTCACATTCTAATTTCTGTCTCGATCCCGGAACCGGTAAAAATCAAGTCCAACGAAAAGCCGCCTATGCTGGCGGTTATACGGCACAAGCAATCGACTTGTACCTTGCGGTTCACGAGCTTGAGAAGCGCATCTCTAACCAACCCATTTCGGGGTGATACAGAGATTTTACGGGTGGTGGATATTCCGGGTGGAGCAGTGACGGTTTCAGCGTGATCTATGCACCCCACAATGTTGCCTTCGTATATCGCCTCGGCGCTGTCCACCGTGATGATCACATCCATGTTGGACATTGGATTGTACACAACCACCTCAACCTCCATAGTCATAACATGCATGATCGATGAAATAATAAAGGGGTTTCTTGAGCCCATGTTGAGGGGATATTTGATCTCGGGTACTGAGAGCTCAACCGATAAATGAGACAAGATGTTTGAGATATTCAGGGATGTGGGGACTGAGCCCGAATGACCTTCAAGTTTAATGGTTTGGTCTATCCCAGAGATGTAGCTACTTGCGAATAGTGAAAGTTGGCGGAAGCCTTCATCCAGGTATGATAGAGGGTCGAGGGTAACATCTACCGTGAATACGAACCGTTTCCGGGCTTCCATCTGGATCCTGTGGACGGTGGCATGCCCAAATAACGCCTTTTTGGATCCAAAAAATATATCTAGCTCATCCATTTTAAGAGAAATATCAAGCTGATTGTTTGTCTCGACAAGGACCCTTACTTGAATCATATTTGGCGACGATTGTAAGAAAGTTATGTTCTGGATCATAGGTTCCGGTCTAAGGGCTGGGAAAGTTGTATTCCACCCCAGGAGCGTGGCCATAGCAGTACCAGAAATACCCCTGATTGTTGATTCAAGAAGTGCCAGGCTTAACTTCACGTCTCCGGTGGAAATGATTGAAACGCGGCTGCTCTTTCCGTCCAAGAACCGCTGGAGAATATTGGCGATGGCAACGTCGTTCCCGGTAAAACATCTCCCGTCTTTCTCAAAAACACTGATGGTGAGATCCCTGTCCATCGAGCTTTTAACCGGTTGCATGGACTCGATATACACCCCACCGAGAGTTTCACCCTGATGTTCAACCTCAAACCTCCCTCGTAATCCCAATAGCTCCACCACGCAGTGGCTTTCTTTGGGAATTCCCACCAGAAACGTAACATTCGAATCGAGAAACGGTTGATAGCCATCAACTGAGGGAATCGTAATGATGGTGTTTCTTATTTTAAACTCAGTAAGGGGTACCTCCACTGAGAGCTGGGGAGCGGCGAATGCAACAGGGACAAACACTTTCGACATGGCATACACCACCCATCCAGGAAGGTCCTCATTTTGAAACTTGGATGCCCTAACATACACCTTCATTTTCTTCGCGGCAAGGGTTTCCTGGACAAGAACATCTAGAGGAGATCGTCCATCGGGGCAGCTGGCTACGATGTTTCGCGGGAACCGAGGAATTTCAGCTACGACCGAAACTATAAAGTATCGGTAGGGCTGTAGAAAGATTGACGATGTGGTGACACTTGATACCTTCACCATCGAGGTGTCACAGTCTGGACAAAATATTTCCCATTTTAGAGCGGGAATATGCATGGACACAGGGTATTCGTATGGAAGGGAAGCCGAAATAGCCAAGTCCACTCCGTCAATCGTGTCTCTGACCATATAGTCCAAAATATCAGACCGTGGATCAGCTGGAACCGGGAACTCAATCTGTTTTCGAACCATTGTGTAGTAGTTACCATAGTTTATCCGTGTAGACAGGATAGAGGTATTTACTGAACCAGAGAGTGTTATTGGAAGTTTTTCCGCTCCTAGCTCTTTTTGCCGAATCACCGCAGTCATAAACAAGACGACATTTTGAGAAACAACTATTACTTCGCTGGTGAAGGCAAGAGGGGTAATGCTCCGATCAGCGAGGAGGATCAGAAGCGGAGGGGGGTGGAATGTGATGACATGCTTGGGGCCCTGATCTCCAAATTCGGCATAAACATCCACAGGGCTTTGCAGAAGTACGGTTATCGAGCCCATAGTAACCCCAACAGTATATGTGAGGATTCTGGGGTACCAGTTGGATATTTTTGAATAATTCACAAATACAGACCCCTCAATCTTAAGCGACACCCCTGTCTCTGTCCAGCCAAGAACCGCACAATTGTCAAGATTCACATGGACGGCCTCCATTAAAGCATTGGGAATGCTCCTCGAAAGATAAAGCGCATTCATTGCAAGTAAACCTGTGATACATATAAAAATAACCCTCGATGTGAGCAGACGGAAGATATAAGCAATTGCCCAGCTAAGCGCGCTGTTGTAGTCTGGTGGAAGGGCTGCGGTGTTATACACCCTATCAGTGCCCCGGTCCTGTAACAAGGGCATTGTTTCGTCATCGGGTGAGAGTAGGGGTGATTCTTCATAGTCAACGGTGGGCGTGTGGGTTTCGTCGATGCATTCTTGCAAACTTTCAATGGCCTCTGAGTTAAGCGCCTGATTCGTTTCTGAACTCCTGATGGTCTCAACTCCTAAAGTCTCCGACTCAGTCCCCAGGGATTTCATAGTTGAGAATAATTGTAATTAGTGAACCCCTATAAAAAGTGTGTTCAAGCTATTTTATTTAGCAAAAAAGGGGCATGGTGCGAATTAACCGCCGAACGCGTTATATGCGTGTACATGCGTCAATATCTTGCCGAATAAGCAATAAATGAGTATTAAAGTCAAACTGTCGTTTGAATCTAGACTACCGGGTGTCTATCAGTATACGAGATTTTCGAAGGTTATAGGATTTCCGAAGGTATTTCCATATTGGATAAAGGCTCATGAACCAGTAGATCAATAATTTAACGCCCTCGTGCTTATAATTGGTTCTTGGGTGTCATAAGTGGGAATATAGCTCCATTGTACGGTCCTATAATTTTCACCCCGCATCTTAACTAGATGTCCAAATTGTTTAGTTTCACTGTACTATTTCCTTAGCGCCCAGGCGGACCGGGTCTTCTGGATCTCGGCATGATGATTCTTCTTCTTGGGGCACCGCTCGGTTGTGGTGTGCCACTAGGCGACGGGGTACCCATAGACGGGGCGTTGGGTTGGCCAAACATACCATTGTTCCCTCCAAACGCGGCGCTTGGCTGACCAAACACGGCAGCCGGGTCGGTGGGAGCGGCGGAGCCACCGAAGTTGAACGACGGATTCGCCGGGTTGAACCCAGTCTGGGGCTGTGGAGTCACAGGAGACAGCGCACTAAAATTGAAGCCAGAGCCATTGCTAGCGCCAAACACAGGGGCACTGGTACCAAAAGCGGAAGGCGGGTTGGCACCAAACACAGGGGCGCTAGCACCGAAAGTGGAGGAAGGGTTGGTACCAAAAGCAGAGGCTGTATTGCTGTCAGGCCCCTGGGTCGGTGGGTTACCAAACCCTCCCGCAATGTTCGTGGTGGAGCTGTTGTTGCTACCAAAGGTGGGGGCGGTAGTAGCCCCGAATCTGAAAACCGAAGCAGCCGCTGGAGCATTCACCGCGGGCTGGCTGGCGGTACCAAAACTGAACGCCAGAGGGGCCTGGGCAAACACAGGCGTAGCTTCCTTGCTCGGGACTACAGAGGAACTAGCGGACGGAGTGGTGCTAAACCCGAAAGCTGGTGCTGGAGCGGCAGCCATTGGCTTGTTTGCGTCACCAAAGGTAAAGGCTGTCTTGGTAGCAGTGCCAAACAAAGACTCAGAGGCATTCTGGGCACCTGGTGTTGTAGGAGCGGCTGTCGCACCGAAAGAAAAGCCAGCAACAGGGGCGGTGGAAGGTGTGGAACCAGGGACAGGCGGGGCCCCGAACAGGAATAGCTTGTTCTCAGTGGTGGCGGGAGCAGTAGAGGTATCTCCGAAGGTTGGCTTGGAAGCCTCGCTAAGGGAGAAGGCAAGCTTTGGGTCTGAGGAAGGAGTCGCTGAGGTACCGAACGCCGTGTTAGGGGCCACCATCTTAGGAACCTCCGTCTTAGCAGCCTCTGTTTCAGCTGGTTTACTCGCACCAAACGAGAAGGCGGGCGTTGTTGGCTTCTCTGTGGCTGGGATCGCACCAGTAAAGGAAAAGCTGGGGGCAGTTCCACTTGCACCAAACACCGGAACGGTAGAACCAGTATCTTTGGCCTTGTCAGATGACCCAAGAGAGAGGCTTGGGGTACTGGTTGAAGTCTCGGGCTTTGCAGAAATCCCAAAAGAGAAATTAGTCTTTGGAGTAGTGGCTGCTCCAAAGGAGAAGTCAGTCTTTGGTGTGGTTGCTGCGCCGAAAGAAATTGGCGTGGAGCCAAAAGACACTTCTGGCTTTTTGGTTTCGGTTTCCTCCTCGTCACCAGCAGAACGTTTTTTTGAAACACCGTCCAAAGAGAATGTGGGGATGGAGGCAGCCTCGGTCGCAGACATAACCACAGGTTTCGTGGATCCGAACGAAAAGGTAGGGGCCGGAGCAGACGCCTCAGAAGCAACGATATCGGCGGAAGGCTTAGCACCAAAGGAAAAAGCGGGGGCCGGAGCAGATGTCTCAGAAGCAACGATATCGGTGGAGGGCTTAGCACCAAAGGAAAAAGCGGGGGCTGGAATGGATGTCTCAGGGGTAGCGATATCGGTGGAGGGCTTAGCACCAAAGGAGAAAGCAGGTACTGGAGTGGATGTCTCAGAGGTAGAGACATCGGTGGAAGGCTTAGCACCAAAGGAGAAAGCAAGGGCCGGCTTTGGTGTCTCAGAAGCAGAGATATTGGTGACAGGCTTAGCGCTAAAGGAGAAGGCAGGGGCCGGAGTAGGGGCCTCAGAAGCAGAGACGTCGGTGGAGGCCTCAGGAGCAGAGATATCAGTGGCGGGCTTAGCGCCAAAGGAAAAAGTAGGAGTAGCAGCTGGAACCGCTTCCTTCGAACCAAAAGAGGGCTGTCCTGTCAGTATTTCAGTCTTATCGACAGGCTTGGCACTAAGCAGAGACTTCTCGGGCTTTTCATACACATCAGGCTCGGCCGTTCCGGTAGACCCTTCCCTCGTTTCCTTGTCAGTCGACTTCTGGGACATGAAGCTGAACCCGGCACTGGGGGTAACAGCTGGCTTTTCTGCTGTGGCGTCCACACTAACGGAGAAGGACCTGGCAGTGTCCTTGGCAGCTTGTTGTACCCTGACAGCTTCGTCGTACACCTGCTGCTTTCTCTTTGGGTCAAACAAGTCGAACTCATTTCTGGAGGACTGTACGACCTTCGCGGTGCTGAGGGTGCCCAAGTAGCCGTCCATACCCTTACCAATGTTGTCGCTCTTGGCAGCTTCCTCAGAGATCTTCTTCAAGTCGTAGCAGAAGTCGCCGCAGAAGTAGCCCGATGTCTTCTTGCGAGCCTCGGGAATCCGCATTGTTCTCTTGCGCTTAGCGATGCTTTGCATGAAGGACCGTTTCTGGGGCGCATCGTGTGTCTGGGTCGACGTCTCGACCATTCTGGGGTTGTGCTGGCAACCAACGCTCCACGCCTCACGGGGTAATTTGTCTCTGACGATGGCGTTGAACTTTGTGTTTCTACTAGCCTGTGCATAGTTGTACAACTTCATGTTCTCCTTCAACTGCAAGAGGTAATATCTCTCCTGGGGATCGATGTTGATGTACTGCGGTCTGATCAATTTTCCGTCCTCGTACTGGCTCTCGTTGATGTCAATTCTCGGCTCCAAGACGAAACCCTCCAGTTCTTCGCTTGGCAAGTGGTTGAAGCCGTTTATCTTCACCAGACTTTGGTCCATCGCGTTGTAATAGTCCTGTATTAACTCGAGCTGGCTAGTGTACTTTTTTGGCTCAGGAAGCACCGTGTCGTCTTCCAAGCTAGGTGGGATGATCTGTGGAACCGTGCAGAGTCGATTTTCCGTCTTGGGCTCGACTTCCTGGCTGCTGAACGTCCTCAAGAGGCGGCCAAGCAACGAGGAATCGCGCTTTGAACGCTTAATAACGGGGGTAGCATCGGGAACAACCTCCTCAATATATCTCTTTGCAGAAACGGGCATTGAATTCTAATGGTTCTTAAAAAAGAAAATGCCTGGTGTTTTTAATGCCTGATGTGGGTATCCGATAGAATCCCCAACGTTCCTTGGTATCAATGTTCTGATACGAATTGTTACGCCGAAGCTTTCGATCTGTTTTGCTTTGCGGCTTCAATTTTTCGGTGGTGCGCGCACGTCTACATCAACAGAACTAGAAAAAGATAAGTAATCAGATGCCACTTTAGGCCATTTCACCAGTTGCTATTTCCATCAAACTCAATGTCTTCAGTGCTTCCAGATTTCCCTAAGGAACTCGCAGACAGAATAAATCTGGTTATTGGTATGTTGTCGTATTAATAGTTTCGGCTGATACTAACCTCTCAGCAAAGTGCCCAGAAAGCGAGAGCGTGTTTATAGATGTATGCGGGTTCTTGAAGGGCAAGCCAGAGAGCAGGAAACGCAAGATCGAGGTGGTGAACCTCGACAGCAGAATCGACAAGATTGATGCCTCAGGGATCGTGGTGGAGCTCAAGGATATCTCCTTCCAGTCACCGCTCCGCAAGAAAATGTCGTTGGTGTTTGCGGTGCATCCCGCAAGCCAGGAGCCGTACTTGGCAGTTTGCAAGCCTGGGGAAGCACCGGAGCTCGTTCTCAACGACTTGAGCCGCGATAACATCGAGTTTGCCTGTTTGTTGCCGACCTCCCGCGACAAGCCGCACCTCCAGACCTTGCTCTTGTTCTACAAGCACAACCAAGATGCCAAATTCAACTCTGAACCCTTGATCTTGACCGTCAACGAAGATATTTTGAAGAATCAGTTGGCGGAGAAGCTCGCAGTGCTTAGCCTCAACGCGTTTCTTGAAAAACAAGCACAGATGTTTGGATTCAACCTTACATCCCCGTTCCAGGAAAAAGCCAGCAAGGCGTTCTTTGTGGACGCGTACAATGGCTCCAAAGAGGGCACCCTCTACTTCTTACCCCAACACATCCTCTTTGGGTATAAGAAACCAGTCTTGTTGTTCCAATCTCACCAGATCGAGGCCATCACCTACACGTCCATCACTCGGTTGACCTTCAATTTGAACGTCGTGATGACGAAGGGAGAGAAGTTTGAGTTCTCCATGATCGACCAAGACGAGTTCAACAAGATCGACGACTACATCAGACACCGTAAGGTTGCTGATCAGAGCATGAGCACCACAATGAAAGGCAAGTCCACACTGAAGAACGAAGTCAGTGAATTGGTCACCTTAGTTGCAGAGGCCCCAGAAGGCGATGACGACGATGACGACGAGTCTTTCCACTCGGAGATGGGCAGCGATTCCGGCAGCGAGGGCAGTGACAGTGATATAGACAGCGACGAAGAGCCGAAGCAGGTGTTCAGCAAGAACGTGGAAGAGGAGGATCTCAGCGAGGACATTGGGTCCGAAGACAGCGGGGAATCGGACATGGAAGAGGTTGAGATGTAGGATATAGAAATGTAAAGTATGCTGAATGGTTAAATATTCATTGGTTTGGTTTGTAGAATGAACGAGCGTTGTGCGGATGATGTTTAATGGCTGGGATTATAGGATTACTAATACCTAAATGGTGTTGTAGAAGGTTGGTTGGAAACTTAAATTATTAAGTATTATTCTGGGCCTGTAGAACGTTAAAGGGCTAATTTGCTCATTGTATTTCCAGAGGAATTTTCCGTTCTGAATCTATAGAATATGCTACACCCTGGAATGCAGCAGAAGCAGCATTTCCACGCTTTAGGTTCGGCCACATCAGCCTATAACGCACCAAAGCCATCATAATTCCGTTATTCAGCTGTAAACCCTGAAAAGGGTAACCATTACAAACCCAAGGTTATATTTTTTTCATGTGATAAGTTTATATGGAAATAAATAAACAGCCCCTAGGCGTTATGACCTAGCTGTTCTCATAAAGTACAATGCAATGACACCCCCGGGTGTCTTCCTCAATGCTTAAAGACGGACTTCAGATCTCAAGTCCTTGGTCTCCTCCCAGTGGGCCTTCTGACCGGGAACAACAACCTCCTCTCTGAATTTTTCCAAGAACTTGACACGGTCCTCGGTGTATGCCTGCCATTCCTGCTTCTTGTAGTCGTAGAGCAACCCGGCACCCAAGCCAGTAGCAACGAAGGCGAGGGAAACCTTTGGGCTGGACAAGGGAGCCTTGTGGGCACCGACCAAACCTAAGTATCTAACGGTGGCAGCTGCGGGGGGTTAGTATTCCTGGTCTCATGCGGGAACCGAATATTTACGTACCAAAAGCAGTGAATTTGAGGGTGGCGATAGTTGGAAAGAACATTTCTGGGTGTTGGCTGGGTGTGTGAGGCTGTCAGTAATAGCTTCCGCTGTCAAGCGTCTTGCTTTTTAGTACAGGTAAAATGCTCGATCTGCTCATTGGTTGAGAAGCTGAGAGGATAAGTAGTGCGCACAGAAAATCACCCTTCCTGTTTGGGTCCATGCAGAATCCACCCTATCACGATGAACATCTGGTAAAATAGAATATAAGTTTCAGGTCTCAATATTTCAGATATATTTTAGTTTCCTTCCTGTTTTCCGTTTATCCACGAAAATTAAATGGCATTTCTCAACGCCCAATTTCGTCATGTGATGCGCACCAATTTTATAGAGAAAGCTTCTAAGGTTTAGCTGTGCAAGTGGAGTAAAATTAGCTATAACTCTTGCCGTATAGCCCCGTAGTAGACCCTGGTGGTGCGATGAACGCTGTTTCGCACTCGTACTTCTTCTTCCCCTCCCTCGGCCACAGGAATTGCCGCTTGTTCCTGGCTTTACTGCGTGGAAGCAGGGGCAGTGACGGGTGGATAGTCGAAGGGAAGGATCAAGCTCGCATCCATCTCCTGCAGAAGGTGAAAGGTAGTGTTTATCAATAGCCTCGTATACTAAACTAAGGAGTGTAACTCTATCCCTCTATAATCTATTTTAGACACATTCATTGTGGATCTGCCAATATCTGTGGCGCGGTTCCGGGCCGCTTGGTCTCGCTCCAGGAAATTGATCCGCATGGATGTAAACGTGGGGGCATCCCTAGCTCAATTGCACTCCCCAATGGCGGTCTCGCATGGTCACATCGTATGTAGACACTCCTTGAAACCGTAAATCAGTGGCTACTGCAATTCCGATGCTCTACATGTTTACGTGGCGAAGTCCATGTGTCCTGACGTGATTAACCTGTAATGCATTAGAGCCCCCCTTTATGGCTGCGTGCCGGAATGCGTCTCTAACCTTGCGGCGGAGTGCCGTTAATAGGATGGCCAAATTTCACCCCTCGCTGAGCCCTGTTCCACGATGAAGCGCCCGAGTTAGCCCAAGCTCTATAAATCGAGCGTGATCTCCGTTTCTCCCAACCATATCTTTTCCTTCTTTAACATACACATCATGTCCGCTAACGACTTCTACTCCTCCGGTGACAATTCCAACTACAGACCACAAGAACAGCAGCAACAGCAGCAAGGTGAAAACGGTGAGAGAGGTTTCCTCTCCACCGTCGCCGGTGCCGCTGCTGGTGGCTACGGTGGCTCTAAGATCTCCGGTCAGCACTCTACCTTAGGTGGCATCGGTGGTGCTATTGTCGGTGCCTTTGCTGCCAACAAGATCGAAGATGCCTACGAAGATCACAACGAAAACAGACAGCACCAGGGTAATCAGGGTGGTTATGGCCAGCAGGGTAATCAGGGTGGTTATAGCCAGCAGGGTAATCAGGGTGGCTATGGCCAGCAGGGCTACGAAGGCCGTCGTGAAGATCATGAAGGTCGTCATGAAGGTCGTCATGAAGGCCGTCGTGAAGACCACGAAGGTCGTCGTGAAGGCCACGAAGGTGGCCGTGGTGGTTACGAAGGCCGTGGAGAATATGGCAATGAAGGTCGCGGTGGTTACGAAGGTCGCGGTGGTTACGAAGGCCGTGGCGAATTCAGCAACGAAGGTCGCGGTGGTTACGAAGGTCGTGGTGAATACGGCAACGAAGGTCGCGGTGGTTACGAAGGTCGTGGTGAATACGGCAACGAAGGTGGCCGTGACCAGGGTAGATGGTAATTCCACCTCTCCATTCCTCAAGCTAACAACAGCTAGTCAGCTTCAAATATTCGCTTTACATAGCTTAATCTTTGACATTGATGGTCTGTAGAATTGTACGGAGATTGACTATCAACACAGTTGGTTGGGTAGGGAATTGGTTAGTTAAGAACAAAACTAGAGCCCATTTGTTAATACTGATATCGCGAACATGTGTTTGTCCCTGAGATGCCGACGTTTCAAGCCTGCAGTTGACGCATACAGCGCAGGGATCTCCCACGCACTTGTCACCCATTCGTTCGCGATGCATGGTGGGTACAGGCCGACGGGGTCTGCAGGAAAAAGGCCGAGCCACCCCATGCACACAGACAACGTAACGATATTCGATTCGCTGGTGAAGTCTTCAGTATATCATAAAATGGCCGGTAGTGCTTGTCTATCTATCTACCCAGGATACAAGGCGGCTCCCGCGTAGGCTTGGGTAGACTACCGGCATGCAGCATGCTGCCAGTTCCAATGCATACCCCAAAACCATCCACGGCACTTTTCGATACATGATTGTATGGGACCGGTACACGTATACCTACGTATTCTCCGATCAAGACCTTTGTCGAGGTCTATGAGCTCAACATATAAGTTGCATATGGCGAGTATTATTAATATCATAAAAATATTGATATTATTATATCATAGAGAAATCGTCAGAGAGAAATATTTACCAATATTCGCACTGCTGATTATAATTCAATAACTACTATTAACAATACAGGTATATTCAATAACACTTAAATATATACATCTATTGCAGTCTGATGTTTATATAGATCCGATATGCTATAATAAATAGTACATGTATCTTTATACGTATATATTTGTAACCAGCCTGTCACATTTATACACCAGTACCGCGAGCACTGCCCAAAATGCGAAAAATTCAGCTACCACCTTGTGAACTTTCATCAGTAAATAGTATGAGTCTCGCCCATGGCTCCCAACCATCTCATCTAAAATGAAAAATATTTTCGCATGCATAAATATATTTCTAGCCAGGTTAAAATTGTACACCAAAGCACCTACATCACCACACAATGAAGCTTGATTTGACTCATATGAGATACATGACGGTGGACGACTTTCGCGTCCTCACCGCTGTAGAGTTGGGCTCGCGCAACCACGAGGTTGTGCCAACCAAATTGATCCACCAGGTCGGTGGCTTACGCTCGGTGTCCGCCACTGGGAGATGCATTTCCGACTTGGCAAAGCTATCACTTATCAGCAAATTGAGAAACGCAAAGTACGACGGGTACCGTTTGTCATTCTCCGGGTACGATTACTTGGCGCTCAAGTCGATGACCAACAGGGGTACCGTGTACTCCGTGGGGAACATTATCGGGGTGGGTAAGGAGTCCGATATCTACTCCACCAGCGACGCTTCGGGGCACACCAAGGTGCTCAAGATTCACCGTTTGGGAAGAACTTCGTTTAGAACCGTCAAGAACAACCGTGACTACCTCAGAAACAAGCAGACCGGTAACTGGATGTATCTCTCCAGATTGGCTGCCGAAAAGGAGCACCAGTTCATGTCCGTATTGCACAAGAATGGCTTCTACGTGCCGACTCCCTATGATTGGTCGAGACACTGCATCTTGATGGAGTGGATTAACGGGCTCCCAATGAGGGCCGTGAAAAAGCACAGAGACTACAAGGGTTTGTACTCCGGCTTGATGAAGTTTATCGTACAGTTGGGGAACCACGGGTTGATCCACTGCGACTACAACGAATTTAATATCATCATCCGTGACGAGGCGGACTTTGGCAAGTACGAATCTGACTTTGTCGTCATCGATTTCCCGCAGTGTGTCTCCATCGGCCACGTGGACGCCGAGTTCTACTTCAACCGTGACGTCGAGGGAATCACCACCTTCTTTGCCAAGAGATTCAACTACAGGCCTAGAGACGATAGTTCTATGCTAGACACCGACGGGTTTGGAGAAGGCTTCAGATACGCCAAGCCGGACTTCAAAAGGGATGTCAGGCGAATTGCTAACTTGGACGTCGAGGTTCAGGCTTCTGGGTACTCTAAAAAAAAGAAGAACGAGGAGGAAGAGGAGTTGGAGGGAGCGCTAGAGGGCATGAGAAATTTGAATGTTGTAGAGGAAGAGGAAGAAGAGGAGGAAAGTCAGTCTGAGTACGATGAAAGTGAAGAAGAGAGCGAATCTGATGACGACGAAAATGAGAGAATCATCTCCGCAATATCCGCGGGCGATGGCAACTTGAAGATGGACAAGTTTGGGAATTACATCTTGGATGAGTAGTGTATAATAAAATATTGAAGCAGAGAAATAGTCACAAGTAGGGCTGAGGTTTAGAGTGTTTCCACCGTTGAATATGGAATCAACTGTCACACGCAGTCAAGTCCTCTTCAAGATGCAACCAAAAAAAAAAAAACTCCCTTAGAGCAGACCCGGGAAATAGAGCACACAGAAATAAATCTTGGTACAAAATCAGACTCTTAACCTACGCTAGAATATCTTTTATATATTTGTTTAGATTATAAAAACTAAATGAGATTTGACATGAGAATACAACTTGAGATCATAAGAGTGGACCACTAGTTAAATTTAACGGGTAGCCATGGCCTTGGTGACGGTACGCTTAAGGTTCAATTCGGCTCTTCTCAAGTCATCGGCAGAGGCATCTTCGATTTCCAAAGTGGCCAAAGCGTCGGACAAAGAGGCTTCGATTCTGTCCTTAGAACCTCTCTTCAACTTGGCGGACAAGATTGGGTCGGTAACGGTGGCTTCGATAGAAGAAACGTAGGCCTCCAACTTTTGCTTGGCCTCGTGCTTCTTGGCGAAAGCTTCGTCAGCAGACTTGAAGTTTTCAGCATCGCTAATCATCTTTTCAATGTCCTGGGAAGACAATTGACCGATAGAGTTGGAGATGGTGATGTTGGCGGTACGGCCGGTAGACTTTTCAACGGCAGTAACCTTCAAGATACCGTTGGCATCGACTTCGAAGATGGCCTCCAAGACTGGCTCACCGGCCAGCATTGGTGGAATGTTCTTCAAGTCGAACTCACCTAACAAGGTGTTTTCAACACAGTTGACACGTTCACCCTGGTAGACTGGGAACTGGACGGTGGTCTGGTGGTCTTCACAGGTGGTGAAAGTTCTTCTCTTGATGGTTGGAACGGTGGTGTTTCTTGGGACAACTGGGGCAAAGACGTTACCCTGCATGGCGACACCCAAAGATAATGGGATGACGTCCAACAACAACAAGTCCTTGGTTTCGTCGGAGGTGGACTGGCCAGTCAAGATGGCACCCTGGACGGCGGCACCGAAAGCAACAGCCTCATCTGGGTTGATAGACTTTTCCAACTGCTTACCCTCGAAGAAGTCAGACAACAACTTCTGGACCTTTGGAATTCTGGTGGAACCACCGACCAAGACAACCTCGTCGACCGAGGACTTTGGAATCTTGGAGTCTCTCAAGACCTGCTCAACTGGGTCCAAGGTGGACTTGAACATAGCAGAGTTAATGTCTTCGAATCTGGCTCTGGTGATGTTGGCGGAGAAGTCCTCACCGTCGAACAAGGAGTCGACTTCAACGGTGGTCTGGGTGACAGAGGACAAGGTTCTCTTCGCACGTTCACACGCGGTTCTCAATCTTCTCAAGGCACGGGCGTCGGAGGAGATGTCCAAGTTGGTCTTTCTCTTGAACTCGGTCTTGAAGTGCTCCAACAAGTTGGTGTCGAAATCCTGACCACCCAAGTGGGTGTCACCGGCAGTAGCCTTAACGGTAAAGACACCACCAGCGATGTGCAAAAGGGAGACATCGAAAGTACCACCACCCAAATCGAAGATAAGGACGTGCTTTTCCTTGTCGGACTTACCAGCACCCAAACCGTAAGCGATAGCAGCGGCGGTTGGCTCGTTGATGATACGCAAAACGTTCAACCCGGCAATGGCACCGGCATCCTTGGTGGCCTGACGCTGAGAATCGTTGAAGTAGGCTGGGACGGTGACGACGGCCTTTTCAACCTTCTTACCAATCTTGGCCTCAGCGATTTCCTTCATCTTGGTCAAGACCATGGAGGAGATTTCCTGTGGAGAGAAAGTCTTGGATTCACCCAAGTATTCAACCTGGATCTGTGGGGCACCAGCAACATCCAAGACCTTGAATGGCCAGGACTTGATGTCCTTCTGGACGGATTCCTCGTCGAAACGACGGCCGATCAAACGCTTGGCATCGAAGACAGTGTTGGTTGGGTTCAACGCAGCCTGGTTCTTAGCGGCATCACCGATCAATCTTTCTTCAGCGGTGAAGGCAACGAAGGATGGGGTAACACGGTTACCTTGCTCGTTGGCAATGATTTCAACAGCAGAGTCGTAAGTAGCGACACAAGAGTAGGTAGTACCTAAATCGATACCGATAGCACCTGGGAAAACACCGTCAGCCATTTTAAATGATTCTTGAGTTAATGAGAAAGTCGAAATAAAAAGCGGGAGAAGAAGAGAAAAAGGGGATTGCAATATTAAATACCAGAGCAGTGTGACTGTGAGAAAATTTTCCACACTGCGACAAATTTTTTCCTCAGCGTGTGCGCAGCCTAGTGGAAAATTTCTTTTCAACGTCCTTCGTTACCCGGTCGGGCAGACCCATATATACCCGTGCAGCGTGCGCATATTTACGCAGGCAGTGAATGCAAGACCGGATTTCTTTAACCAATCTGTCGTTTTCGTTACAGTCTGCATGAATATCCTGTATGGATATCCTGCATGAACATCCTGCGTAAACATCCTGCGTAAACATCCTGCACGTATTCCAGCTAATACCTGACGACGCCGTTTCGGTAATCGAAGATACACTTTTCAATCAGGCTCACCGCCACACTGATCTGGTGAGCCGTGCCGCTGACCCTGATGCACTGTGGCTTCACGGAGCTGCTGAGGAGCGGATGTAAGAAGCCCTGCTCGATCTGGGGAGCGTCGTCCAACGGCAAGATCTTAATGAGTGCCCCACACCCTGCGCGGATGGCGCTGATGCGTTCGCCGTTCTTGCCGATGAGAAACGTGACCTCTCGCTTGGTCAATTGTAGGATTTTTGCCCGTGTAGGGTTGGTGGGAAGGGGTACGGGGGGGTGTTTGTGCTGTTGCCGTACCAGAGGGCAGGGTTGGGTCTGTAGACTGCGTACGTTTAGATTGCTTGGACGAAGGGCAAGCAGGGAGGGTTCTAGGCGATGGAAAGATAAATGGTTGGCCATGGTCCAGACGAGGGCTTGCAAAGTGGGAGCCCAAAAGGTGACGCGGTAGCCGGTCACAAGCAGCAATGGGTATTTGTCTACACGGTAGCATTGAGGTGACAGAGAGAGAGCGTGGATTTCCTCTTTGGTTAAAACTACCAGCATGCGCGTTTCCAGAATCAAATGGCTTAGTAACTAGGGGTGTTAGATATAAACACAGGATATAAAGAGGAGATGTACTCACTTTGTGGAGAGCACCCGAATACTTTATGATGATGATAGATTCGTCCGAAAACTCTCCTAGTTTTGAGATCGAGAGGTCTAACATCGTCGGAATAAGCGTTGTGAGCATATCAGCACGGGTAACGATTGAGTCGCACAAGGAATCTCTACCTATAATGCGCAAATAGTGGGCCGCACCAGGTAATTCGTTTTCATCTGTCTCAGGTGTAGCTCCGCTAGGGATGTATACCGGGAGGCCACAGTTTTCATCATTGCCTGGATTGGGAACCATACTTTCAACAGTGTACATTGAGGCAGTAGTCTGAACGGATTCCGTAAACAAACCCCGGATGGTCAGGGAGGCTAGGAGTAAATATTTTCAGCCCGAGTTACCATTTTGTAAACTAAGCAGAGCGATCGTGCGTCTTGATACGACATCGGGAATGTTGTATTTAGGAGCGCGAAAGTTGCGAGACCATGCAGGACCTTGGGCTGGCAGCTTGAAATGGGAATCTAAAATTCCAATTTAGAAATTTGCAAGAATTTAACCCACAACACATGCCACCCTTACACCTTTTGTCTATTAATTAATTTTATGATACAATGTAAACCTCTCTACTATTTAGTCTCCAGCGTGCTACTCCACCCACTCGTCTTTGATGACTCCGTTGCCAACTCGTTTTTGTCTCTATTCCATTCGAGTTGCGTAGTAACCACCAAATACCCAGAGGTCACGACCCCCAAGCCGGCAATGCCTACACCGGTCCACATAGCGCCGCGGTATCCAGACAACATTCTGTCGTAGGCATTGTCGCCGGTGGCGGTGTAGACCTCAGCGGTACCGGCAACCCCCAACGCCAAGCCCATGGCATAGTTGGTGACGGTGGATACAAGTGAGCCGGCCGTGCCCTGGTGGTGTCTTGGAAGATAGTTCGACAAGATGAGGGAGCTGCTGGGGAAAGACATGTCCATCGCAAAACTCAAGGGAATCATCAGAATGAACAGCAAGATCCAGTAGGTCTGGTTCACCGGGGTGAGGGCCAAGAGCAAGCTACTCGCAAAGAAGGACATGTTACTGATAAAGATGAGGATGGATGGATTGATGCGGCTGATGGAGTAGGACACAGTAAAGGCCGCTAGGATCCCAAACAAACACACTGGAATGTACGACACACCGGTGAGAAGCGGGGTGTACTCGCGGAGATTGAGACAGAGAGCCCAGTAGTAGAAACCCCACACCCCGAATGACCCCCAGCCCAAGCCCACCGAGAGAAGCGTGACCCCGATCTTCCTATTAATAACTTCCAGCGGAACGAGCGGGTTTGCAACCACCCTCAACTCAAGGAAGAAGAACGCTCCCATGAGAAGAAGCCCCACAGCAAACAAAACCGGCACGTACGGCTCGCTCCAGAGCATAATCGGTGCCTGGTTCCACGCAACCATGATTAGCACAAGCCCAGCCACCCCCGTGACACCCCCATACCAATCCATTGCTTGTGATGGTGGCGGCGGTGACACCCGGGCGAGCTCGGTATCGGGCTTTTTTTCAGCGCGGACATTGGGCACGAGGAAGTAGGCGGCCACGGCAAAGAACGCACTGCTGATGCTCAAAATGTAGAAACACCACGACCAGGAGCCAGCCAAGGCCCCGGAGATAATCCCGCCGAAGCAGGCTCCGGCTGGAGCCGCGGCACCTAGAATGCCCCACACAAGCTCCTTTCGGCTCCCGTTCTTGTAGCAAAGTGCGAGAAGCCCTATCGCACACGGAAGCAAGAAGGCAAAGCCCATACCGAGGAGAGCGCGGCAGATGATGAAGAAGATGGTGGAGTTGACGTAGACGGAAGCACCAGCCACGATGGACCACGCAGAAATCCACGCGTAGCCCGCGATGAAGCATGCTTTGTGGCCGTACAAGTCGCCGATCTTTCCGGAGATGAGAATCAAGGTGGAGACGGAAAGCGCAAAGGCGGCAGAGAACCAGGCTTTGTCACTGTTGCTGTTGCTCCCAAATGATTCGGACACGGTGTTCATTAATGCTAGCGCCTGGTTGTTGACAGCTACGGTGACGAACTGTGCCATGCAGATGATCCCCGTGGCGAGGATCTCGTGGAGGTTAGACCTGAAGACGTCAGGGCGAGGCGATAGATTTATGAGTGCCATAGTTGGTAGTTTAGTAATGATGCGAATGAATGTGGATGAGATCTTGAGTGAATTGGGTAAATCTTGAACCACAGATTCGTAGTGAATAAATACTGCCACCCCGAGATGCATAAAAAGAAACAATTTTTTTTTTTCCATGAAGAATAAGATTACCGGGGTACAGCCGCGGCCGAAACGCTAGCTGAGGGCGGAATTAATTAACAGCCGCACAATGGTATGGTGTTTTTCGCCCACCGGTACCCTGGTCTTGGAGCTTCGGAAATTGTTTAATTACAAGGTGTCGCGCTGGTGTGATTTCCGAAATCGACCTAGGGTCTTAATATCCACCCTCGGCAACGGCTATCGCGCGTGTAATTACGCCCCTGACAACGCGTCTGACACATTTGTGATTAGGGAAAAATGACACATTTATGATTAGAACTATCTAAAATAAGTAACCAGCTATGTAGACAGGTTGGACTTTATTACACCAAGGGTAGCTGAGGCTTTACCTAGTTCTTTTTGGGTTAAAGCCCGTGCCTTCAAACCTCTAGATCCATTTGTCTCGTTATAAAAAGGGATGTGATGTAAAGAGCCAGAGCCCTATAACCGCATAAAAGTAACAACTATATGGGTGCAAACCTAAGATTAGAAAGGAGCAATACATATTATATTCCAGATTGGCAGGAGGGGGTTATCCCAGTATGGCATAATTTGAGCTTATAGGAAGTACCAGTTATATCTCGAAGCAGTATTTTCTACGCAGGCCAACGTACATTTTTCTATCCGATCCTTAGCCCATCCAAGTGTACATGTAAGCTGTCAAATCGCAAGGGGCTAACTTCTGCCTGAAACCATGCTTACCTCTATCAAAGATTTCGCCAATATGTGGATGCGTTTCCCGGGAAGCTGCCATAAATACAAAGTCCAGGGAACCTTGAGACCAGTCTGGAGATGGTACGCACGTTTTTAAATAGTAAGATACCACCAGCTCAGAACAAAGCACCCTTACTGCTGGCATAATTCCTCATTCCAAATATAAATCATTCCACACCGATAAACGGATGGTACATACACAGGGCCATAGGATAATCCTCCCATTGGCCACACCATCAACTACTCTCGATCTGCTGGCGCTCACGGTATACCATCCTGGCAGCCTGATAGAGGAACAGATACTGCGCCGAACTTTGTACCATCATCATTCGTTGCGCTCGCAAGGTTCCCACAATCCATTCGATCGTGTCTTTTTCTACCGCCTCACCGTCACTGAAATCTTTGCAGCGCCACAAATAGTCCAACGTGATGAATGTCCCCGTACGCCCGACCCCCGCAGAGCAGTGCACGATGGGAAGCGCTTCAGACCATCGTGCCACCCTCCTAGAGATCGCTCTCAACGGTTCCACCGCATTTGGCCTTCCAAAATCCTCCCATCGATCATAGTAAATATGGTGGACAGTCTTGGCTTCGGCGCTAGTTTTGTTGGTTAGCACCATTTCTGAGTAATAGTATCCATGCTTGTCATATTCCGACGCCATACACTCCACCGTAAGGGGAAACTTGAAGCCGTCGCTGAAAGACATTTTTTCACCAACATCAGGCCAGTACTTGTGGCACTTCTCCACTCCCTTTTCGCTCAAGGGGGTGACCATCACTATAACCACAGGAGCACCCGCGGGGGTAGCGGTGTACGCCATGTGCCAGAAATGGGATGTGGTAGACAGCAACGGGCCCTAAACATTAGTATAACGCTTATCACGCTTTTACGAGAACGTACCTGGGTGGCAATGTACCTCTTTTTTGGAGCCGAGTCAATCTGTAATTCCACGTGGGATGCATTAATGTAGTCCGAGTATCCCTCCACCACATCGAGCTTTACCCGCGAATGGTCCCACGGCAACACGTTCTAACCTGTTAGTACCATTACCAAACTATCTTTGGTTATACGCACTCCGTATCTGTTTCGCTTCTCTGGAAAATCCTGAAGGGCAGAATTGAGGGAATACTTTGCGCTGGGGTTCTCCAACGCTTCCTCCACGTGTTGTCTTTCTACCGCGTTGATACGCTGGAACTTTCGAACAGTCTCTGAGGCGGTTAGTACCCGGATAAACCATATATAGAGAGTGACGTACCCCGATCGGAAAGGTCTAAATATGGGGCCTTTGGAAATGACATGATTGGGAATAAGCTTCTCAAATAAGGGTGCTATCTGGTTGGAAATAGCTGCAGATACGCCACGCGATTCCTGCATGGTACGCAGGGTTGCCGGAGATGTGGAGCGGTAAGTTCAGTTGAAAAATAGATGATAGTTTGAGATAGGAATCCAGCGTTGTGGTGTTTCTCAAAATATAATACTATATCTGATAAAGGGGTTTATGCCCTTACGTCACGTATTAGACTGCGAGCCTAAGGTTTAGCGACAATTTTTCAATTTGGTGCATTTATACAGGCTCTATCAGGTACCTATTTATGGTTCCTTCGTCTGATCTCACGTTTTTTTACACTCCACGATATATACTCTTTAACAGAAAATTTAATAGGAATATCAACCATTCTCCAGAATATTTATCAAAATTCCTCATCATCCCTGCGAATCTTTCGAGTCTAAGTCGACCACATCTTTCGGGGAGTTGCATGTCCAACTAAGAAAACATCAGAGATGGCTGATATACAGTTAAGCTTGTACACCTCATTTACTAGTCCAAATTTCCATGGTTGAGCTACAATTTCCGAGCCTCTGACAGCGAATATATGCATTGGAGGACTTGTGGAGTGGTAACCATTCTGCATTACATGCATATACTCGCTCCATGTGCGACATTCCAGAAATGATGAGGCCAACAAGCACGAGCTTCACCATAAACAGTAATGTTAATTCCTGTTTTCAGAATTTCGGATGCGTTCTGGACTGAATCACATACAATAATTCTTGATGAGGTTATGTACCATGAAAATCCAACCACCAAGGTACACGATCGGACAGTTTTTGAAATCGGAACCTCTAGAAGCGTTTTTAGCCTATGAAGAACTATAAATTGGGGTATGTGTCTAGTATGAAGAATAGCTTTTTGAGTTTGAATCATTACTTGTTTAACACTTCGAGACTGATTATGAAGTCCTTCACTTTCGTTACCCTTTTGGTCTTCTCCCTTGTTTTTGCGCGAGTTCCCAAAGTATCGCTTCTGCAGGGGTCACTGCCATTCATGAGCATGACCACGGCCACGACCATGACTATTCCTCCTAAGCAGCTAGCTCTTTTGTTGAAGCTGCAACTCACGCCCATGACCATATCTATACCTCTCAGACTAGTTCCAATGAAGTGGTACCAATCCAAGACCTTGCTCAACATCTTTCTGTGACCACTCTGGGAGATCAAACGTCCCAGACCAGAGCCCCGACAGTTGAAACCAACTCGACATCTCAAGCACCATTTGATATCTTCACAGGTGCTGCCAACAACTTAAAAGGTGATTTTGCATGTGTTGCATGTACCGCTGCTGCGATAATCCTGGGTTGATAGACTTATGAGTCCCAATATGTAAGTATGTCACTAGTGTTAGGCTTAGACTTAGGATTGGTGTTTAATTACTTTTTCCACCTTTTTTATTCATATTTCATACTTTGATTTCTTTATATACGTAGAGAGAAGCTAGATCAGTATTATAGCCTGGAAGTTGCTTAACAGACTTGATAGTCTGGTTATGCTACAAATTAGATCTCAATTTTAAGCGTTTCTCGGCGTGCTTTTCAGCCATTCGAACCATTTTCTCACCTTTTACTAACCGATACGATGCTATGAAATTTACTAGGCTTAATTTTCATATCCCAAGTGTAAAATGCTGCCTGCCTGCCCGACTTTCCAATCTTGACGGAACACCGCGATCCCTGGAGATCTGTAAATATCAGATCGTTCTCATCTCAAATTTCGCCAGTTCAAAGTTATCCACCGAAATGATTTTTTACTGGCTGTAGGTCTACGTAAATACCCCCAAAATAGATTGTTGATATTGCACAAACCATAAGTTAGTGTTAGAAATACCTGATACAAAGGCAGATTTCAACTAGCTACATATACAATTACTCACTAGATCTTTATTAAACCCAAGCTTAGATTGAAATCAAACTAGTTACAACTGCTATTGATTAAACCATTTAATTCGCTCGGCCCATGCTAGGCATTCGCAAATAGTTTCAACTCTCCCCTATCAAACACAACCAACCCCCCATCCACCAACTTCACACACTGAACACCTTCCAACCCATCCACCATGCCAATCGGCTTCCATTCACCCAACCCGTAAACCCTCAACACCCCCTTCGCATCGTTCACCACAAACTGCCGCGTCTCCATTGAAACATCAAACACTTGTTTGACCAAGCCGGGATTCGCCAGATACTCATATGCCACCAAAATATCTCCGGTTCCCAAGTCATACAGCGTAACCCCCTTCAATCCCACTACCAAAAGCGTCTGCTCTACGATTTTTACATGAGAAACGCCGCCTTTATGGACGATTCTCCGCGCGGATTTGCGTTTGTTGGGGTCTCTGAAGTCGTATCGATTTGGCGACTCGTCCATAGCGATGATCCAACACATTCCCAGGCGGCAACCAGCGACCAAGAGCTCAGAGTTTTGGTCTAGCGCCATAACGTCTTCTTTTAGATGGTATATTTCCTGGAAGAGACCGTTTTCTAGCAGCGGAAACACCGTGAGGCGGCCCTCCTGACCAACAACGAGGGTTGCGTAGCGAAAGGATGTACAGAAAATGAAGCGCGAGAGCGGAACAATCTGCGTGGGCTGGATCTGCGTGGGGGGCTGGGGTTCGACCGGCTGGACTTCAAGCAGGACTTGCACACGCTCCAGGCTTGCGCGCAGGTAGCAGCACACAAGCGAGCTTCCGTCCACAACCACCCCTGTCAAGCTGGTTCCGCGCATGTTTGCTACTTCTCTTATCTTGAACGAGCTCAAGGACCCTTCAAATAGGTTTCGCAAGCTGTCCATCGGAAATCGGAAGACCCGGCCTTCAGCCTCGTTGTAATAGATATGGTTCTCCGCGAGGATTATACTTTGGGGAGTTCCACGTGCAACCCGCGGAAATAAGTGCGTCGTTGGGTCGAAACTGCAGCGTAGTTCCCACTGCGAGGTGTTGTACGCATCCAAGACCTTGCACAAATGGCTTGGCTTTGTGCCGCAGAGTCGGAATGAAGGACTGATCAAATAGCGGAGAGGCTGGTGGAGGGGTTGGACCACGTTAGGTTTCGTTTCCACCTTTTGCTTCTTGCGTAGCTTCTTTTGATGTGATATGTCGCGTTTCTGCGCCTGGACCGCGTTGTTGGTGTACTTTTGCGTTGTGGAGCTGGCGGCAGAACTCGCACCCGCGATGATCCGGAAGTAGCGTTTCTTCACGGGGTCAAACACAAACCCGGGGAGCTCTGGGGGCATTATACAGAATGGATTGAGGAGAGCCAGCAAATAGAGGTGAGATTGCGGCCGTTTGAAGGCATATAATTTTTGGTGCGGCTCATGTATCTGCGGCGGCATCTCTGACAGGTTAGTAAACCTAACGCTGGGGTATTTCTACCAAGTACGAAAACATGCAAATTGTTCATTAACTTTTGTAGCTTTACCATAACGGGTTGAAATGAGGTGGCGGTAAATCACTATCTGGTACGAATCCCGTCGAGGTTTGGCCATGCCTTGGGAAAAAGGGTAACTCTACACCAATATCAACAATCATTTCATAATACAGTTATACACTAATATAATACACGGGTACCCATTACTTTTCAGTATTCTTTTCCTCGGCAACTTCAGGCTCCACCTCTGCCATATCCACATCGCCTTCAGCATCCGTGGATGTCTCAGCCTTTTCCTTAGCTTCAGCCTTAGGTTCCTCAGCAACAGCCGCCTCCTCCTTTTGTTCTTCCCTTTGCTCTTCCTTTTCAGCAACAGCTTCAGGGCCGTCCATCTTGGCGTCGGCCTCGTTGGATTCAAACACCGGAGTGGAGTCGGCCGTGGTAAATGCCTCGGTCTTTTCCTCCCCCGGGTTTTCCAAGGGTTTGGCTTTTTCTTCGGCCGGCTTTTCCACCTCGGCATCTTTCATAACTTCGTCTTCGTCGTCCTCGTAGTTGTCGTCTTCCTCCACATTTCTCAAAGGCGCCTCGACGTCCTTGGCCTCTTCCCTCTCGGCCAGTTCGTCGCGTTCATCGAGCTCCTGGACGAACGAGGCTTCGTTTGGTTTGGAGAACTCGCTGAGAGGATCTGCTGGAGCGTCAGCTACAGGCACGGTAGCTTCAGATTCAGCCACCGTGGCGTCTCCCTTTACTTCTTTCTCAACAGGAGATGGAGCCTTCACCGGCACAGTTGGAGCCTCCACTGGCGCAACAGAAACAGGTACAGGAATAGGCGTAACGCTTGTAGCCGGTTCAGGGGTGTTCTGCCCGCTGTTACTCAAGATATCGTGGAAATTGCGGGGTTTGCTAGCATCGCTGCTGGCCTTCTTGGTAGCGGAGTCCTGGGCGTCTTCCAATTCCCTCTTGGCAGGAACCACCTCTGAAGCAGGGACAGAGACAGCAGCAGCAGCAACAGAAGGAACAGGAGCAGCTTCAGTCACAGGAGCAGCTTCAGCCACAGGAGCAGTCTCAACAGCAGGAATAGGGACAGCCTCCAAAGCACCGAGAGGAGCCACTGGAGCGACAGACGTCGTGGTGGTGTACGAATGACTATACCCCGCATCCAACGCGCGCAACTGTGGCTGCTGTTGGTGCTGGATCGCCGGTGGCGGTGGTGGCGGATTATTAATTCCGTTCGCCTGCAATTGCTGGAAATGGAGCGGCGGGGCCAACATCTGTGGATGGCCCATCCCCATCCCTTGCGCCATCTCCGGCGGCCCGGAGTTGACCGGCAACATGCCCTCCGGTAAGGTGGGCCGTTGGTCAACCGGAGGCTTTGGCGCATGGGTGGCACCCTCATTGTGCAACTTGATCAACTGCTCCAAGCGGTTGCGGATGTGCGGGTTGGACGGATCGAGGCGCTGCGCCTGGCGGTACGCGTCCAACGCATCGGTGATTTGGTTGTTGCACGTTTCGTACAACGTCCCCAAGTCGTACCAGACCTCCGAAATGTACGGATTGAGCCGGATAGCACGTGTGTACGCGTCCAATGCGTCGCGGTACTGCGCAATCTGGTAGTACAAGACACCGATGGAGCACCAGAAGGTGGGGTTACGCGAGTCGCGGTTGACGGCCTGCTGGAATGCGTCATAGGCCGCGGTGTAGTCCAGACGCGAGATATGCACACGCCCGAGGTGGTACCACGTGTGCGCGTCGGCGTTGTCCAACTCCAACGACTGCGCAAGAAGCTTGAGCGAGGTGTCGAGGTTGTAGAAGGATGTCAGGCCTTGCGCGTAGAGACAGCCGAGCTGCTGGAGCACCTTGGCGTGCTGTGGATTCGCCTGGAGCACGCGCTCGTACGCGTCCTTGGCGCCGAGCCAGTCGCGCTGCGCTTCGAGCACCAGTCCGATCTGGAACCAGATGTCTGGCTGGGTAAGGGGCGAGGGTGGCAGCGGAAGGATGTACTTGAAGCACTCGAGCGCCTGCTGGAGCTTGTTCTGGTGCTTATAGATGATCCCCAAGCGGAAATAAATCTCCAGCGCCTTGTCGAAGTTGGGGTCGAGCTCGAGCACGCGCGCGAACGCTTCCTCCGCGTACTCGAGGGAGCCGTAGCGGTCGTACAAGATCCCGATCCCGTGCCAGAGCTTTGGTACGTTAGGGTTGCCCAAGTGGTAGAGGGCTTGTTGGTACGCGGTATATGCGCGCTGGAGGTCGTCGAGCATGAGGTAACAGTGGCCGAGGAGGCCCCACGTCTCTCCTTGTTCCGGCGCTACGTTTAAAGCAGCCTGGTAGAGCTCTGCGGCCTTGGCAAACATGTCGCGCGAGCGGTAGAGTGACGCGAGCTGGGTGAGCGCTTGCGCATTCACGGGGTCGTGGCGGAGCACCGAGTCGTACGCGGCGGCAGCTTTATCGACATCACCGAGCGTTTCCGCGAAGGAGCCGATAGCGAGCCATGCCTTGGCGGTGGCTTGGTTGAGCGGGTCATCGTTGGCTGGTGGAGCGCCGGAGCCGTTAGGCTCCATGGTTCCGTTCTTTGGCTTGTTCATAATGAGGGTCAGTTTAAGTGGCTCTGCAAGTCTGGCAAGGGTAGGGAGTGGTGCAAGAGCAAGGTTGGAAAGAGAGCAGAGACAGCAAGGGGTGATCTGCAATAAAGAGCAATGGTCAGCAAGGTGGTTCTCAACGACAAATTTGGTTTGCGGTTAATTTCGGCGCTAACAGTTTTGCAATGACTTTCTCGGCTGTTACAGATTTCGAGAAACGGGATTCAAAACAAAGGGTTTGGCCTGATATATCACAAGCGGGAATGGCGATGAGACTGTGATGGTTTGTCGAGGAACAGCGTGAGGACAAAGTGATGAGAGCGAAAAATGTCGAGTACGGGGAAGACGTCGACAATTAAGGGAAGTTTAAAGTGGCAGCGCGAAAAAAGAAATAAAAAACCGGCGCGCAGGGAGCAGGGCGTCCGTCAGAACAGTCTATACACCGTTGGGCCCGCAAAAAAATGGCACCATGAGTATTATAAACGGCGGCCACAATTTTTTTGTGATCGCTTGGCAACCATTATATTAAAAAAAAAAACTTCCCCCTGTGCTGGGGAAGCCGTGGTGGTGTTAATGCACGGCAAATCTGAGTTCCTGTCACCCCCTGTTTGGTTTCACCACCCCCTGTAAAGTCGCGTTGTCCTGCGCCCTCCAGCTGCCGAGCAAGAAGCCGCCCGCAGATCCAGCTAGCTCGGCATATTTGCACGTGATGAGCGCCACATGTTCGTAAGGGCTTGCTCTGTGATGGTCCAAAAAGGGCGAGGTGGGTAGGTAAGCCAGGGAGCCTGGCGCTTCTAATGGCTCAAAGGGTATCAATTTTCAAAGATTGGGGAAGAAGCAGTCCCAGCCTGTTTAGGAAGATGATTACCGGAAAACAATAGCCGCTTAGAAGATTAAGAATTAAGAGGGATTAGGTTTACCGTTGGTGCTAGTGGGACGACGAGGTCGTGGTGCGTACAGGAGGTGCTACACGGGAAAAGTAGGAGTGGAGAGACATACATAAACTATCTGATCGCTATTACTTTCTTGTTGATGTACCAGTTTTACGACTTTTGGCAGTGCTATATCCTTACACCGATAGGTGCATAGGGAGCCCAGAGACTTATAGGATAAACTGAAGCAGTTGATTTAAGGACGTGATATCTGCCCCTCGTGAAGTTCTACCCCGAACAAGCTCAAGGCAATAGCGTTGTCGTTTAGTTAACTAAAACACGTGGAATTGAAGGGGTGCCATGTATGTCGAATACATTCCATGGCAACTGACTTTGTGGTATACAAACCGGACATATTTCCGTATTTAAGCTTTGGTTAATGCACATATATGTGGAAAGCGGGCATTATGTTTAGTGCCTGAGCAACCTTTTGTAAGTTGCCCCTCAGGGGCTTGGCCGGCATAAACGGACTGCTTTGCATCAAACACTTGCGCCTTTCTCCGCTTCCATCGGTGTTTTCTTAGCGATACCAACCACATCCCACGGTGTCATCGGGTTCAGCTCTGAAAAGATCTTGTCCATCTCCTCCAAGCTTCTCCCGGCAGTTTCTGGGTACAAGAAGTATACCACGGGAATCATCAAGAAGTTCATCACGGCAAAAATGGTGTAGGTGTACGATCCGATGGTCTCAAACGCCACCGGAGTGATCATCACCACCATAAAGTTGAACGACCAGTTAGCAGCGGTACTTAAACCATTGGCGGGCGCTCTAATACTCAAGGGGACAATCTCGGCGGGGTACAACCACGTCATTCCCAACCAGCCCACGGCGAAGAAGGAGTTGAAGACAAAGAGGAAAACCGCAGCCACGATGGCAGCGTGAGAGTTGTTACCGTTGTGGATATCGGCGGCCCAGGTGGTCCCAGTCAATATGGCCATCGACGCCGTCTGGCCGAGGCACCCAAATAGCATAAGCTTGCGACGACCAAACCTCTCAATGGTGAAGTAGGCGACCCAAGAGAACAAAAAGTACTCCGTACCGTTACAAGCAGCTAAGATACGCGAGTTTAAGGGTGACATCCCGATGTAGCTCTCAAAAATGGTGCCCGCATAGTAGGTGATCAAGTTGATACCGGTAATTTGTTGCATGATCTGCGACCACACCCCCAACATGACACGGTGAAAGTTTTTGTGTTTTCCCTGACGGAACATGATTTTCATGTTGGCAAAGGCCGACATGGATGCATCACCTCCCTGTGCCACAACCTCTGCTTCTTCTTCCTTTAAACTATTGGAGACGTCCAAGATCTCGGCCTCGACAAACTCGGAGTGAATATCGCAGCCCTCAAGGGCCGCAAAAACGCGTCTAGCATCTTCCACTCTTCCGCGTTTCATCAACCATCTTGGGGATTCGGGTAACTTCATAACCAACGGAAGAATCAACACAATAAACACCAACTGGAAGGCAATCGGAAATCTCCAGGCAGCCGAGCTGTCCTTGACGAAATAGAAGCCAAAATCGATCCAGTAAGAGATGGTAATCCCAAGGGTGATCAAGCTGCACTGCATAATCACCATCTTTCCTCTGTTTTCCGGCCTGGCGCATTCAGACTGCCACATGGGCACGGTGGATGTGATGAACCCGTTTCCAACCCCCGATACAACCCGTGCAACGATCAACTGCGCAATTCCGTAAGCGGAGGTCTGCAAAATGGCTCCGATTAACATGATCCAGCAACCGTAGAAGATCATCTTGAGGCGCCCGAAGCGATCGCCGAAATACATCGTGGCCAAGGCGCCGGCGAGACACCCGATTTCATACACGGCAATCACAAAGCCTTGTAAGGTTGCGTTGGACGGGTGCTTGACCACGTCGATGTCTTTGAAGGTGTCGCGGAAGGCCGGAAGGGTAAGCAAACTGCCCATGACCCCTTGGTCGTAACCGAAGAGGAGGAATCCGATACCCGCGAGGAGGGAGACGGCATTCTGGAGTTTGGTGCCGCGGAGCCCGAGGAACAGAGAGTGGGATAGATTGGAGCGAGTGTCGTCGTTGTGTAGGGTGCTAAAGGTGTCCTTTTCACCCTCTACATCGAGCGAGTTATTGGAGGGGACGGTACTGGGAACTTTGACAGGTGCTGCCATTTTGTGTTGCTGTCTAGTGGAATTCTAGCGGATGTGATTATGTGTTAGGAGTATCTAATGCTGACAGTATGCACCTCTTATATAGTCTGGGATCTGATTCTCCCCACATCCTCGGACGGCAAAAACCAGGAACACGCAGAGACCGGGGGGAGAGGCTGAAAAGCCACGAGTTTTTCATCTGCACTAAACTGTATGGGATATTTAGATGCTCTCGGGTGGATGAGGTGAAGTCCGGAGAGGGCACGCGACTATACGTAGTGTACTCAACGGGGTGCATGACAGATGCATTGCTCACATGTCGCATTAATTAACAGGGTGCCGTACCGGGGGCCGCGGCTATTAATAAGATGTGCCTGGTCGGCCGAACCGCAAAAAACAAACAAAACAATCAGCCCCAAGCCCTAAGCATGTGTTAAGCCGGTTGGATAATCAGAGAATGATAGAGATTCTTGGCCAGGGAGTATTCATCATCTGGCGCTTGTTTTTGTGGGGGTGGGAGTCCGCAGGGTGTACCGTTTGGCGAAATGCCGTACGGTATAGAATTTACGGATCGGCGCAAAGTTTTTCCTGTCCAGCTTGATATGCCATCTGTAAAGTTGCTGCGGCTTTGCCAAGAAAAGTTGAAGCTCGCAGGGCAAATTTCTCCATGCGTATCATAAATCCGGACGGGCAAAACTCGACATCCTCACGGCCTTTTTCTCTAGACCTTTCATGCATGGTGGGGTTTCGGTCGAGTGGATAGCTACATGCCTTGTATCCTCCATAGAAAATGCATAGGTTTGGGAAAGCGGGGCAGATAACCTACAAAAAAAAAACTCTAACGGGTGGTATGACCCAAGTCAACATTGATAGTGTCGATCCGGAACCGAATAATTTCCTCCAGAGATCCTAGTCACCCTTGGGATGACCTCATATCTAGAAGCTTAAACGAGAAGGCTTAGGTATAGTTTAAAATCCGCTATGAAGGTTAATGGCCACCGTCAGAGAAAGTTAAATCAGAAAAGTCTTCAGTTTTAGAGCTGGGCGGATATTATACCTTTTCGCTGGTTCTAGACGTAGCGATTCTAGAGTTTAATCAGTCCACATGTCCTTGATGTGGGGATTAGGTTAAGGTTTAGAATATGTCAAGGCGCGGAAGAAGAACTAAATGGCATTATCGTCACCAACGAGGAGCGGCACGGAATGGATCTTACTTTTCCGGTGGAGATGGTAACATCGGTCCAACTGTCTTGTATTGTTTATTATATTTCCTTCGAACTCGCAAGTGTTTGATTCTAGCTCGAATTTATTCATACGCGGCCTAGATGCCGAAGGAGAGCCTTGAGAGAAGAATTGCAGGATTTACGAATCCCGCTCACCAATGAGAATGTGTTTGATTACGGTGTCAGAACTAGTCTGCTCTAAAGACCCAACGGGGTCAGGATACTCTTTGACCACAGCTAGCCGGGGTTTTAGATAAGCCATTCTCTTTTAGGACCGCGACCGGATCGTACACAGGACCTTTTGCCTGGGGATTTATAGGCTCTTTGATCCACGGATGCCGCATTCGATTTACTTTATTCATCAGGGATTAAGCAGACAGTTCAGGAAAATGTATTCAGCCTTCGACGTTCGAAAAAATACTGAAAGGGAATGACTCGAAGCCCTGGGTATTGAACGACTTAGACGTGGTTGTTCCGTTGGGTGCAGTTATAAGTTGTTTCAACTTGATGCTGATATGCTCGATGTACCGAGACTTTGGAATATCCGAGCCCTTTGGTGACAATGTCAGTATAACTGGAAACCGCCGTTGCGTCCTACAGACAGCACCTTAGCCCGGTGTGCTACGTCCTATCGATACGTATTTCCTTCATATAAACGAGTAGCACCAACTAGCCAAACTTTCAATGCGCCCTGAGAGTTTGTAGATGGTTCTTGGCCGGAGGGTAATACAAAAGTGGGAATAGAGTTGTATTAAGGTATAAGAGAAGCTTCAGTGACGAGTTTGGGCTCCAAATTGGCAAGTAAACGACAAAAGGCCAGCCACTTTGCCATGGTAAGGAAAGAATTCCTTTGGGAGGGTTCCCAAAGACTTAAAATGGAATGTCAATTCTCACGTTGTGTGGGAGAACTTTGAAGTCGCCGCCAAAGGCAAGCTCTTGTTCGGCTTCCTCGTCAGCGGCAATGGCCACAACAGAGACCGCAAGAGCGGCAACAAAGGTGAAGAGAGTGAATTTCATAGTGTTCGGGTTGGTATTATTGGTAGTTCCAATTGTAGGAAGAAACCAACGTACGTGAAATATATTACTTTTGTGTCTCTGGTATCATCAGAGGTTGATAAAAAAGGCGTCCTTGGTCGTTTCTGTACCGATGCGCGACTCCGCCTCACCTCTTTGTCTTTGACGTCTTCTCTGCAGCGTAACGACGTGCTTCTGCGTATACCATACAGGCTTTATACCAATCAGGCGGGCTCAGTACACCGTAATTGGCCACTGGTACATTTGGTTGTGGAAAGACACGAAAGTTTTATTGTTTTAGACCACGCCTTTACACACGCTTCCGCTTTTGTATTAGAGCTTCACCAATCTTCAGTTATTATCGCTGTACTGACCAATTGCCCGTTCTCCGAAACCCACTAAGGAATTTGGGTCGATGGCTTTGAAGGTTCAGATCCTTGGCTTAGGATAGTAATCCAACTATATTCTTGAAACAAATCCCTTGAGACATCTTGTCTGTATGAATAAAGAGTTGGTTTGGATCTGCATTTTGACTTACCGTCTGAGTCTGGCTACCAATAATAGTCCTTGTTTAATCTAAAAACTTGTGTTAATATGGTTTAGAGACAGCTAGGTATCTCAGAGGTGTAACTAGTGGAGCGAATAATATGGAGGAACATGTATACATTTAATTTGATGTGGCCAGCTAGTACTTCCACGGGTATATGCCATAATGATCTAGTCATAATGCTCTAGTTATGATAGTCCAACGACTGAGGTTATATGAGAATACTCAACGAGGCAACTACCGGACTAGTTTGAGCACGAAGAAAACGCATATAGCTCGTTGCAAAAATAAAGTTTGTTCAAATTGAGGCCGGGACCAGAAAATTGTCCGTACTCTAGAATTACCAGCTCCGTGGCGCAGATCGCAAAAGGCTTCAGTCAGGAGAGCACCCTATCTATACGGGATATTGGTATTCAGCTGAGGGACAAATACTTCCGATCTGATATGAGTTATAAGATTATTTAATCAAATATCCAAGTGTTGATATGGAAAGGCTCTCGGAATATAAAGGGTGCAACTAGACCTTGGCTTCTAAGCGTGTAGCTCTCAGAGAAATGAAACGGATGGGGCCTCTGACGCCACTTACGTCCATTCTTAGACTTCACACTGCTTCAACAAAACTATTCGAAGCAAAACTGAAGGATCCATACCGATATCTCACCCTGACATTTAAAATCTTACTCGATCGTGGATCATCAGTGGTGCCCATTACGACCGCCCATAAACCGGAAAGATTAAGACAATGGTACACATGAATCCTGCCTCTCAGATCATTAACAGAAATAACTCATATTACACGGTATTAAACCTTGATAGAAATACAGCATGGTACATGGGGAGCAGACAGGGCATTCTTTAGGGATCTGCCACTTTGGGCTTCAGAGTCATGACGTCCAGCAGTCAGTTCTCCGAAGCGTACTGAAAACGCTTGACCTTCAAGCTATTCCTTCGGATCGTTCAAGAGCTCAAGGAAACGATGGTGCTGCTCTTGGTTTCTTTTCAAAAGCAAGTCATTTTGCTCAAGCAACAAAGTGCGGTATCGGGCGGCTTCCTTTTGCCTGATCTTTTCCTCCTTCAATTGCGCACTGCCGCTCTTTACCATTTTTTCTAGTACCTTGATGACTTTTTTGTTACTGGCTTTGATCTTGGTTTTTCCTAGCGCCATTAAAAGCAAAGCGTGCGTGTGAGCAGTCTTTGGTTTCTTTGGTGGCGGTTCGAGAGCCTCTGGCGGGGCTGCATTTTTCGATACGGCCTTTGCAATACGTTTTTTCACTTTTGCGTTTGAGGACGTTGTCGCTGCTGATTGCAGACGGGTCGACCTCCTCGTGTTCTGGGGCCCGTTTCTGAGCGTTCCTTTGGAAGACAGGCTTTTTGTTGAGCGCGTATTTCTGACTGGCACTCTTTTTGGCGTATGGTTGTCTTTTGAAGGCTCAGCGTCATTGTCTGATTCAGATCCCGGCCTCTCTGTGCCGACATCCGGTAACTTCAGGTTAAACGATCGGGCAGCCAGGAGTTTCGTTCCTTTAGTTGCAGATTTTTGGGACGGCTGAGAGCCCTCAATTTGGTCCTTCTCCTCAGCAGTTTCTTCCTCCTCGCCGTTCCTCTGGGCGTGCACTTCGGTGTACATTGGCTGGTCGGATGGCCGGAGCTTCACGTCCTTTAATTCCCCTGACTCAACTGCAGCAACCTTTTGGTACGTCAGCTCGATATTTTCAAGAATCTGGGCGGTCGTGACACTATCCGTGCGGTTAGTGTTGAAGGCCGCGGTAACGCTCTTCATGACCGTGGCAAACTTTTTGGTCGTGGCATCATGCACAAACGGTTCTTTGGTGGTGATAAGGTTTAGCAACTTCCGATTGTCACGTTCACGGAAGGGGGTGGTCATGTTTGGTTGTAGAAGTCTGTAAGAGGTACATGAATTGAGCTATAGTCGCGTAATAATCTTTTAGTGTTTACATATCACAGATATCGAAAATCATATCAAGGGTTTTGAGCCCTGTATGATTCGATCAAATCAATGCTTTGATATTGGAGATGGCATATTGATTCTGGGATCACCTTACTGAATATTACGACACGCCGAGAAAAAATTTAAAGGGGGAGTTTAGGAGTGGAATAAAGCAGTTTGAGGGTTGGAGGGCTGCATGTAGGCAAGAGCTTTTCACTATCGATAAGTAGGCATTAACAGGGCGTTAAAGTTTGCCCGGATCATCCCGCGAGCTCACTTCACTAAAGAGCAAGGGTGTTAGATTTCGCGGCTAAAGTTATCAAAATTATTTATATACGAGTAGCAATAGTATACTCATAGGATATAGAGACATTTGTCTATACCAATCCTAGACTTTGTCCGCAAAATTGACGAATTATTATATGCGTACAAGGGTGATGTAATTAGTACAACAGGGCTTGTATATAACTACAGAGAAATCGAATAAGGAATCCAGATGATAGGAAATAAGAGTGAATATTAACACCCCACCCACTCTTAACTTTTACCTTCTGTGATTGATTCACAATGACAAAATCGATCATACACGTGTACCATGGAGTCCACTTGAACAGCGGCCTGCTTAGCCGTCTGCTTTAACTTTAGTCAGCTTATTTACTCGACAGTCAGTCTTTTGTGATTTTTGCAGAAATATAACATTATCAAAATAACTTCAATAGAATATACCCTGATATTAGCAATATTGAAGCCAAATATAGCCCGATACACTAATTTGCATTGAAAATAATGTCTCTTGTTTTTACAAGATATACCTACCTACTGAGTACACCCTATGTCCCTATGTCCCTACAACCATTGCCATCGGTTATTTATTCATATAAACACCTCTTGTCAGTGCTATGACTTTTTGGTACCTTTAATGAGAGCTTTTAGGAGGCATCAAAGTCTCGTTAAGTCTATCTTGGATAGAATCACGTGCATGTGATTTTCGAGAAAACACACCCAGGTTTCCATGTTCGCGGAAGTGCCGATATCGACACTCGGATCTAAGACACTTTAGTTGCATAATCTCAGATGTCCAGACAACCCCCACTTTACATTTCTTCTCCATCGACACCACAATGTCTCTGCCGTCCGCTACCTATAAAGCGGAATGGCTCCCCAAGGTACAACTATACAGACAGAGACTCGCCGACTCCATCCCAAAGGAGTATCTCTTGGACGACACCAAAGTGCCTGAGGATCTCGACACGGTCCCTTTCAACGCTGTCAGCTTCTTGTACAACGAAAAGCTCTTGTCCGAGCGCGAGTTTGCTATAACTGACCTCAAATGTGAGACATTGGCCGCCAAGATCGCCGCGTCTGAATACTCTTCCGTGGAGGTGCTCAAGGCATTTACTAAGCGTGCGGTCATCTGCCACCAGCTCACGCACTTTGCCACCGAGTTTTTCTTCGATCAAGCCTTAGAAAGGGCTGCCGAGTTGGATGCCTATCTTGAAAGAACTGGCAGCACTGTTGGACCCTTCCACGGGTTGCCTATCTCCTTAAAGGACGAGTTGCACATTCGAGGCAAGGTGATGCATCTTGGGAATGTTTCGCGTGTGGAAACCGTCTCCGAGACGTCCCACATCTCTGCCAGAGTCTTGGAGGAATTAGGAGCGGTCTTTTTTGTCAGAACCAACATTCCCCAGGCGATGTTGTTCCTCGACGGAGTCAACAACCTCACGGGTCGCCGTACCACCAACCCCATCAATTCTACCTTGACCACTGGCGGGTCTTCCTCGGGCGAGGCGGTGTCTGCAACTTTCAGGGCTGCCGCATTATCTGTGGGTACCGATATGGGTGGCTCCATCAGGCTTCCCGCTGCCTTTTCTGGTTGTCTGGGTTTCAAGCCTACCGGTAAGCGTATCGCCAACGGGACGGGTTACAACGGCCAAGATGCGATCCAGACTACTTCAGGGCCAATGTCAAAGTACCCCGAAGACTTGCAGTTCTTCATGAAACACTATATCAACGACGGGAAGCCATGGACCAAGAATGCCTCGCTTGTGCGGGTTCCGTGGATCACGGGTCCAGCCTCCCAGAAACTACTCAAGGTGGGGATTATGTACGACGATGGGGTCACCAGACCTCTTCCAGCGATTGAAAGAGGGCTACGGTTTGCGGCTGAAAAGTTGGATGCTGCTGCCGACGTGGAAGTGGTGGAGTTTTTCCCGATCAAACCCCAGGAGCTTTTGGAGCTAGGTCTGAGATTCTTTTCCTTAGACGACGGTCCGGCAAAGCTTGGCGTTTTAGCGGAATCTAATGAGCCGTTATTTCCGATGGCACAGGAGGCGATGAATGGTGGCGGTAAGGAGTTTACCGCTTCCGAGAACAGGGAGTTGACCTTCACCAGAGACGCCATCAAGGACGACTTTAACAATTACATGGTGGAATACAAGATCGATGTGATTTTGACTGCGGTGCACTTGAATGTGGCTACCGTTCCGCAAAAGTCCACCTTCTCGCTGTACACGCTTCCTTTCAACGTGTTGGATATGCCGGCCGTGACGATCCAGACCGGCTTGTTCCAGGACCCAGCCGTTGATGTGATCAAGGGCGAAAGAACCGGTTTCAGGTCGGATATGGAGAAGACGGAGTGGAGTGGATATAATGCTGAAACACACCGTGGAGCGCCAATTGGGGTGCAGCTCATCGGTAAGAGATTCTACGACGAGGAGCTCTTGAATGCTGCAATTTATTTCACATCGCTTTTTAAGTAAGAATTGTCCGGCCAAGGAACTAAAATCATTCCGCAATGTATAGAATCCCGTACTTTGATAAATACCAGTCTAAAAATACAATTTTCTACTGGTTTTCAATCAGGGAAATTCCAATGTTGGGGGTGTATCCAACCCAGAAATTAAAAGTTGCGAACAGCCACTAATACGACGTTATGAGTATTATTTTTAGATGTGTTGTGAACAAACGACTACAAGACCGTGATATCGGGGATTTAGATACTATACCGTTCGGTGAATGCTGTTGATCACAGGAAGGCTATCTTCTGGGAAAATTGTGTCTGGCGTAACTCCATTGGTAGAATTTGTTATATAGGTAGTAATTAGAAGTATGGTTGAGGCAACAAGGTTGTAGATGCGTTATACAATTGATCGCGATTTAGGACAACTCAAAAAGCTCGAACTTGTGACTGGCTAAATGCCGTCACCAGTTTGGACCAGGGACCCAGATAAGGCAAGGGTGAGACTTATAAGAATGGCAGTTACACAACCCTTGATGCAAGCAATGCCATTTCAGGCCATGCAAAAACCCGAACTGTTGATGCTTAGGAGCTAGGCTATGCGCAGAGAACACGAGTGACCCTACCGATTGAACGATCTATATAGAGAGCTTCATATGGTACTAAACCAGGTTATATAATTTTAGACCTAGCAAGTATATGGCCAGGCGAGTTTATGCACATAGTGTCAGGGTGCTGTAATCAGTCATTGATTCACAAGGTACCAGCATAATCTCCCATTGATAAAAAATAACTTTAAATTAAAAATAATTTCTATCAATGGGAAATCTCTTCCTTATGTAGTCCTCTGGACTTGAATCACCACGGTAGTTCAATTCGCCAGAATCGCCACCCGTGTTTAAATTCATCGGAATCGCGACGTCTATAGCCTCGTAAAATGCCGCACCGATAAAGCCTCTAATTCTGGCACGCAAACTTTGTCACGGTTATGCAATTTGTGTTCAAATTCTACCCTTGGTGGCTGCTAAAGATCACGACTCGAGCGATTTAGGATTCTTGTATAATTTAATTTATATTGTCACTGCCCCTGTTTATCTAGGTCAGTCTATATTCCATTGGTATCAATCACTAAACTGCTACTTAAAACATTAGACTAGCCACTAGTGCAAACTTTTGTGCATCAAATTCACATACATTTCTTGACAGACTACAACTGCATCATATCTCTGTTGTGTCCAACATGGCGCAATAATTCAGACGCCGGCATGCATGCGTTTACGTATCTGCACGATTATATGCATCTGCATAGTGTTTAAAATTATCATACTGACATTGATTAATACGTAGCTATATAGACCAATATAAGTTTTTAGCCTTGGGTTTGTATGAATGAAGCTAATACCAACTGTGTATATTCACGTGTTTCATTAGCATACGAAACTAAGTCTGTTGTTATTTCAGTCTTAGTTTGCGGCAAATGGGGCTAACAGGAATGTGACGTTGAGCGAGTTTGAGAGACTTGCACAGTGGTTCAGGGATAGAAAATACACAGAAAGAAGCTAGCGATATCCAGATCCAGACTTTATACTAGCACAGCCATGAAATGAAATTCTAGTTGTCTCTGGAAAAGAAAGGTCCATGCTATGCATGTAGCGGTTTGAGCAGGGATTAATACAAGGGTCGAAATTGAAAAACGCGAATAGATCTGCGAGTTGGAATATGCATGACAGAGATGTATACCTTGTATAACGGCATGGGGCTTTGATGCGACTTAAAGAGTTCGCTAAAGGAGTTGAATATAAGCGAATACAGCGATTGGTTTAAGGCACAACTACATAGTGTAGCTTGAAAGCTTAGGCCAATTCATGTTTTTCCAACAATGAGCTATTACAAATCGATAAGCCTATAATAAGAGCCTGTATTACTAGTACTTTCTGCGCCAATATTAGGCTCAGGCAAAGACACTCAACGTAAAACTATCGTTCATACAGGTGCCGCAGGAAATATGTGTAGATGCTCCTTTTCCTTGGCATACATGATCTAAGGTGTTGAGGCGAAGGGTTTAGTTTATGTAGCACGATACCACTATGTAACCGATACATATACTGCAGGGATGATAGCTTCTGGGTGTAAAACTTCAACGATACCAATATTAAAAACCATTATTTCAGTCTGATGGATAGTGAACCCACTCCAGTCGTATTGGAACGGACAATCAAAGTGCCAGAAACATATCAACGTGTAGAAACATATGCGATCTAACTTCTGGATAGCTATTTGGTGAGAGATTTTGCTTTCCGAATTTGTTACTCGTATAAGCACTTGCCTTCCTGTATCTCCATGGTCGAGATGTTTGGCCAACAGTTCGGTCTATTTAGCGGAAGACGCGTACTGCACGCCCGTTTACTTTCACTAGTCTCTCTCGCGCTAAATAACTCTGGTATTTTTACAAAACAACGGTTATAGATTTAGGATTCATTCCAACCGCCTTCAATTTGATGATAAACTTCCATAGTAGTTGTTTTTCTAGCACTTGCAAACCGCCGAACTGAACATATAGGAGTGTCTTCCAGGAGATGGAATGCTTATTAATCTCGCCTAAAATAGGCATGCACGATGTGATGCTGCACCATTACGTCTGCATATATAGGCTCACTGTCCATTTTCTATGCGTTACCGCTATGCCGACTATCCCTGTTAAGCCCATGCTTGGAAAAGCGTGACGGGGATAGGGAAAATATCACTGTTATACGAAAAAAGAATCTTTGAATCTTTAAGTATCTCCAGATTTAGAGTAAATCAGTACTGTTGACATCTAAACAAGAAGTGTATCTTTAGAAGCTAGAGGCACATACAGCCTAATCCGATAGCTCTGAACTTTATGCAAGAGGCGGTTCGCCTGTCTAACAAGGATTACACAACTTTCTGACCCCTATACAAGCTTCTAGTGACCCCTGTTGCATAAAGTCCCTACTTTGTGAAAGTATGATAACTGCCTGACGTTAGACTGCACCTGCACCGGTTGAGCCGTGAATTAATAGAAAGGATGTGCTTAAAATAGCCCCCCGAGACTTTAAATCAGATGCTATATAAGACAAGTGAAGACCCCGGTTGATTAAGATAGTTTCTAATAACAACACCATCATGAAATTCACACTGTTGTTTTTGGTTCCCTTTTTATTCCAAGTGGCCACTGCCGCTATCAATGTTACTACTGTTACTACTAGTATCACCAACCCGGTGCCATCTAACCTCTGTAATTCCTTTATTACTTCCGGTGGTCTGGGTGTGAGTGCCTGGCATGCGACGGCGGAATTCTATGCCCAATCGACCAATGACGTCGCTATCTTGGGAACCGGGGTGAGAAGCTACAATTATATAGTGCAGTGGTACTTTAGTTTTGATAGCCCGTTGGGAGCTACAGGGTTTAATGTTAATACGTTGACTGCCGCTATTTCGTTGCTCACCACCGTCAATGTGGTTGTTAACCCCACCCAAGGTGGGTTTATCCTTTCCTACAACGATACTGTCACCTATCCAATTGTTCTCGGTGTGGATCTTCTTAATGGGCTCAACTGTTTTGATTCTATTATTGGCTACACTGTTGGATTTACCGGTGGGAACAATCCCACCACCCTTATTTTGGGGTCCTCCGATTTTTGGCTTAATCCACTCAATGACTTGACTTGTACCCTCACTTCCATTACCTCAGGCTGCATCGCCTTGGGATACCCAACACTTGGTAAATGTATGACTTGGGGCACATGTACGGGTGCAACACCTCCTCCTAGTGTCATAACGGCAACTATAACTTCTGTTCAGGCAAATGGATGCACAGTGGTTGACAAGATTCTTGAATCAGCCTACAGTTATAACACCACGATATATCTGACGAGCACCTACCCTGTTACTCTGACCAGTTCGTATGTTTCAGCAACGACTACCATTTTTTTTATTCCATTTTATGGTACCTTTTACTCTACGCGTACTAGTACCGCAACCCAAACATTCACTCAAACCGAGTTAGTTCCAACTGTCTCTACCTCTTTGATTAACGCCGTTACTCTGTGTCCGGTTTCTTCCTCAAGCTCTTCGAAATCATCTTCTAGCTCTTCTTCCTCGTCGTCGTTGCCATCATCAAGTTCTTCGTCATCATCATCGAGTTCTTCCTCGAAACCATCTTCAAGCTCTTCGTCAAGCTCTTCGAAATCATCTTCTAGTTCTTCTTCTTCGTCAAGTTCTTCGTCATCATCATCGAGTTCTTCCTCGAAACCATCTTCAAGCTCTTCGTCAAGCTCTTCGAAATCATCTTCTAGTTCTTCTTCGTCAAGTTCTTCGTCATCATCGTCGAGTTCTTCCTCGAAACCATCTTCAAGCTCTTCT